CAAACTAACAAAATACATACTCTTGTTTAACGCAAATTAAGGTTTATGAAACATACTCGCCTTTATCATAGCCACAAACAGTCCAAATACATACTCTACTTTACCTATTTTTAAGTCGAAAGAAACTTGCTCTCTTTTTCTTAAAACAAAATCACTGAAAAACATACTCGACTTTTTAAAAATATAAATCCGAAAAAAAACATACACTACTCTCAATCTCACCTATAGATAGATATGGGAGTTTTTTCTTTGTGCTTTTCTGCACCTTTCAACTCAGAATTTAAACACGGTAGTGATCGATGAACGCAATTGGACTCTTTGAGCTCAATGGAAATTGATTTTTTTGTTTCAAATTATAAAATCCAATTAATGGTAAATTTCTCTGTTGGTAATTATCAGTCAATTTTCATATCATTTGCCCATGTACAGTACTAAAAAAATATAATCATAACATTAGAATATCACGGTTGCAAGTTCAATTTGTTTTGATTTGCTTTTGATGATTTGCTTCAATGTTGTTTCCAATGAATTTCCTTTCAACATCCGAATCCAAATCGCACAGAAGATGTTTATACTCATTTAATTCTAAAGGCATTTTTTTATTGACGTCCATTTCCAAGTAAATCAAGAATTCGCCGAATTAAATCACAATTTCACTATTATTCACAACAATAACGAAGCTAATAAAAATTTGGCTTGTTGTTGATACATCGATCGGATTAAATTTTTCTAACTTATCTAATTTCATGGCAATGGCGAAAAGAGAGAGAGAGAGAGAGAGAGAGAGAGAGAGAGAGAGAAAGAGAGAGAGAGAGAGAGAGAGAGAGAGAGAGAGAAAAAACATATCAAAGAGCAAATAATTGTATGATCGCATAAACAGCGGGTAAATCAGCTTAAATCATGAAATGGACTTTGGCTCAAGTGATTTATTTCATTTCGCTGGTTGCATTAACTTGATCATATCATGAGAGCATCTAATGTAATGATGATAAGAAAGCTAGCGAAGGTGGGGGAAAGACGTATAACATCATAAATAACAGTGAAATTTGAATCAATTTTCGTTTGATTATCATGTAATAGCTTTTGCAATTTTATCTTTCTGTGCACCGACAACAATTTTTGTTTTCATTGATTAAAATTGTTCTTTTTTCACATTTGATATTCAAAAAATGTCTGAATTCAAGTGAATATTCTAGTCAATGTCGGCTGATTTCGCATTACACAACTCATTGTGTCATAGAATTAAAAAGTTTATTTATATTTTGTTTAAATATATTCAAACACGCACCAAATGTCAATTGTAACCGATTTATTTTTATTGCGTTACTCTGTATTTTGACGGTTTGTCAAATAGTATCAATGCAACCTTGATGCGATTACATTTCATGAACATACAATTAAATTGATTACTATAGCTTTATCTAGTTGACCATTTATATTCTAAGTCCGAACAGACCAAAAACACGGTTTTTATTTCTTCTTTTTTCCCTCACATTTTCACATTTTTAGCTCATTTACTCTATATTCTGATATTTTTACTGAAGACTTTAAAAGTAAAGCAAAGCAAAGCAAAGCAATATCGCGACTGTCGAGTATTAAATGCTATCACTGATTCAAATGAACGTTTACAGCAACGATTGATTAAATTTTATTTGGCCACAGAATACATATATCAAATATCTGTTGTTATTCTTTTAATTTCACAAACAAAACGACAGAATACTGATAAAATTCATTCAAAGAAGTTGCGATTTTTCTTGGTGTAGAAAATATAATATCTTTTTGTGCATCGATTTCAACAAACGTTCAGTTTGAATTTAATCAGAAAAATCATGCCCAAAATGCATTTGTAACGTCATTAAACATTGAATCAGTACATTTGGGTGGAAACAACCACTTGCTTTAAAGAAAAAAAATTGAAAATGAACGAAAGAAATCAGTTACATGATACTCACTTCAATATGCCGAAAGTTGAAATGTAGTTTGATCAGTTGATTTTAATTCAGTTAAATATATCCTCTTACTGTTTCTATCAATTTACGTTTAACTCGTTCACCTTACGTTTTAATATTTCTTGCGCTCGACAAACTGACACCGTTAATTATTTTTCAATATATGTCCTATCTGAGCGCAAAATGGGTAGCGAATGGAAACGTATGAATTGTAAATTCACTGAAAAATGCCGTGAACAATTTTATCAACACAGAAAAAATTATTATAATTCATTGAATGTGGCGATTCAATCGCGTTTTTCGGAAGTCAAACGAATTTGTGACAATAACGTAAGATCACAGGGCGAGAAAGTTGACATTTTCACACTGGCGTGATGCGGTGTTTTGAATGTTGTGTGCTCTCGTTTTGTTTACTTGAATCTATACCACGAACATATTGTCTGTTCTATTTGGTTCTTGAGCTCACAGTACGTATTGGCCCTTTGCTGGCTGGTATTGAAAATATCGTACGATAAAATAACACAGCCAAAGATGATGGTTCGACTTTTGACTGCATTTGTGTTGAAATGAATTTATTTTAGGGTGTACATATCGAATGGCATCGAAAGGCGATTGTCCTGGAAAATTTTCACGGTGTTCACGTCGAAACCATAGCCTAAACACCTATTTGTAAATATGTTTCTTTTAAAGAAGGTTATTCAAACGAAAACGAAAATGTGACCACCTATATTGGCTTAAGTTATGCATATGTAGTGGTTCGTTGCGTAAGATGTACATGATATGCGGCTCATTTGCATCAGTTTTCATTATTATATCGTAACCACTTTCGAATCGCATACATAGACACGGTGGCCACAGATGAATACTCCTCTTTATTTTGGCATTCCTCGATGCACCCTATTCTTTGTTATTTTCCAGTATGAATGGCATTAAATAAGCATGTACACGCGCATGGCAAATACAGATTTTCGAATCGTACGATGTTTTACATACGATATGTTTTCATATGATATAACTTTGCAGTCTATACAACACAACACAACACAACACAACACAAACACAAACACACACATGTTGGAAATTGCGATCTATGTTTTTCTTCTTCTTTTATTCTTTCGCCCATTCTTCTTATTTCTAGCATGTTCTTCTTTCGATTCTTTTATAGGGTGCATCAAAAGGAGGATTTTGAATGAAAAAAACAACGTTGACGTTGATCATTATCAAAATATGATACGGTTGAAAAACGTCGCAAAGAAATGAACTAGTTGAGAATAATTGCTGCACTTGATTTGGATGCGTATTTGAATGTTAGCCTGGAGACAGTTATTATTTCCAAATTCAAGAAGAAAAAAACTGAAAACGAATAGGCTGAATTAGATGTGAAGACTTGATTGTCGTGATTTAAAGTGTCAAATTTATAGGAATGCATTCCGAAATATGCATCACAACTCTTAAGCATGCTCTTAACAAAACAAACAATTTGTTTGTATGAATTGGACTGGCGTCTTGAGATTTTCAACAGCAACAAACGATTTTATGGCTCATGAGCGTGAACAATTCAAGTTCATTGATAATGAAATACATTTTGAATATTGACTACCAGTATTAAATAAATTATATTTTGCCTCTAGTGGACAGTTAATATTTGAACGGCTGTATTATTGTGTAAATTGTATACTGGTATCAACAAGCATCCATCACATTGAAGGCAATAACAATAACTCAATTTACCAGATCAGAAAGAACAATTGCCGAAAATTCCCCTTTGAAAATGATTTACTCTTATACTGGACCAGTAAACTGGTGATCTTTTTGTGAAATCCATTGCAGGCGTATTCTCAATGAAGTTTTAAGGCCAATTTTCATTATTCTATGTAAAACCAATGAAATTTCAATAAAGAATTCTGTTTGCACACCAGAAAACATTTAAAAAGCGATCCCATGTGGGCATATTCGAAGCCAAAAAAAATCCAAACTATGAATCAAAGAATCATAGACTACAATAGCTGTTCTAATACAAAAGACTTTCTGCTTTTCTCAACAATTTTCCTACTCGATTCTGATTGAAGACGTAGAACCTATTTTATTAGGTTTTTTGTGCCTATCGCTATTAATAAACACCGACAAAAGACGTTAACGAAAAATGCAAATTGACTTGGTTGCGCATAGATGTTATGACAAAAGATAAACACATAAAATACTGACCTACCTCTCTCCGGTATCGTCGAGCAATAATCAAACACGACTCATACGGTTTATTATCAAATCGCGTGGTATCAATGGTTAATGAATACTTTCAATGAACTATTGAAATTGAAATCCGTAATTAATAATAGTAAGCGATTGACTGAAGCAGGAATTGTCGAGGAATTTTAATGGGCGTGCAAAGTGGAGAGTAAAAGTCAAGCAAAAACAAAGTCAATGAGATTTTTGAAACATATCTAACGATTCGAAAAGAAAATTCTCGTGAAGCATGTAATTATACCAACGCCTGTGTTCGATATCTGAAGCCCACATAAAAACCGTACAGTGCTTGAATCAAATGGAATCGAATGAATTAGATGAGCATTTGTATTGAGTAGATATTTTTTCCGTTATGATAAAATGCCAAACGGTAAGGCCACGCGGTTTTTCATCCAAACTGTTAATAAACCAACACTTATCACTCGCACACATATATGCTGACATTCATTCAGTTAAGTGTATGCATATAGATTAACGCGATGTGCTCCAAAGTACAATGTTCACATAAAAATCGTACGACTGTTTTACAACGACAAGCATAGGCAATGCGATCGTTATAAGTATATGCATGTTTATGGGATTTATATAGATGTAGACATATGCATCAGATGTGGATTTTTGTTTGCGTGTGTGAGTTGTCTGGCGGTTGTTGCTGTTGAACATGTGGGCTATATTCATAAATGTGGTGTTGATAAGAAATTTCGGGAGCAAAGAGTTGCAATTTATCTTTATTGCACCTATTTGATTGTTATTAACAACGAAAAAAAATTCAAGCGTAAAAATAACAAAAAGCAAAACATCGATTATATGCGGTCGCGTTTTTAACATACGCGAAGCAGCAAAAACATTCGAAGACAGTTGTGTGTCAGAGTAATACATGTACGAACACATCGATGACTCAAACGAGTTTGTTGATGTACGTGTGTAATTGCTATTTGAACCAATCAGATTTCATCGCGTAACGTTTTCGACGGTGTGGCGTGATGCGCTACGTCATGGCGCACCAGTGAACAGGGATCAATAGACTTCTAATTTCCTTTTCCCCTCTCACTCTTTCGCGCTCTATACACCATGTGTGATGCATGCATACAACGATACCCTCCGTTCGATAGCAGACACATCAACACACACATGCACGCCACACCACTACAAAATGTTTCGTTGTATTAGAATCGTACGATATTTTTCTGTCGTATTTGAAGTGTAAAAAGAAGAAAGAAAAAAAAAATGGAAACAAACACTTGCAACGGAAAAATTGTCACACGCTAGTTTGTGAGGCTACACATGGTTTTATTTGGAGGATAATGCTTTGCTTCTCCAGCTTGGCTGTCTTTGAAATAACAATAAATTATTAATTTCAATGGAAATGAATCACACCACAAGCTATGGAAAATTGAATTTTATGGTGTCTACGTAAGTTCATAAATACCTTGAATTGAAACAGAGGAATCGTTTCTTGGCAAAGCAAAATTCTTTAAATGGTGTGAGTGTGTGTCATCACATTTTATTTAACTGTCTCTCACGTCTATTGTCTCAATGCAAAACTATTTCTCTATTCAATGTAATTCAATTGATGAATCAAATGCCAAAGTTGTCATCAAAATGGACTGAGTACATGCCTCAATACAAAAAATATTTGCGGTGGCAAAACAACACACAACCGGCGGCCAGCTCATCAGATAAGCTAATATAGGCGTTCTCAATGTTGACTGGGGCCATTTACAGTGGAGCATATTTGACACATTTTTTTTTCTTCGCTTTTCTCCTTCTGTATGTCAATACTATTAATAGATTTTTCATTTTTCTAATTAAAGTGTGTCCTTATCAAAGAACATTCACTCGTTTGCGCAATGTTCCGTAATATTCGTTTGGCGGAATGTCGTCAAAACAAAACCAATATTATACGATGATTTGTTCCATTAATATATTATGATACGTGTTTTTGTCGATTATTTTAATTGAATCAAATAAAATAACTGACCAATAAGCAATTTGATCATAGACCGTATTTAATCATAGTTGCACACAAACAATTTGAATCACTCACTCTTTTTTTTGGTATAATTTAATAAAGTTAAGCTCACCTTGGATAACAATTTCTCGTGTCTTCTTCGATCCTGAATGCTCGCGAATTATTACGACGATTTGAGATTCACTTCAACGGGCATAAAGGTTTTATTTTTATAAATGAAAAACACACAAAAAAAAATATCAACGATTTCTTTGTCAATGTCTTTGTCCCTACAAAGAGATTCACTGTCTGTCCGTTGTTTTCGGAAAGTCACGCGTTTCTATGCATCAAGATAAAAATGATGCGTGATATATTCTCGTATGCAAACAATAAACACGAATTAAAGTACCACACTAAGCAAATTTGATTTTGTTTTTTTTTTTCTCTGCTGGCTATAGAACACACACAAATTATGAGCAATTGTTGATATTTTCAGTCCACTTTGTTTTTTTTTTGTTTCCTTCAACTTTTATTCTTGACGTAATATCGTCTTAAATCCTATGAATATGATGTGAATATCTTTGGTTCTGCTTAACGTACGATCCAAGACTGAATCACACAACTGTGTACACTCTGAGTAGCACGAGTATCGTCTGAATTTCGTATAGTTGTACGGTGAGTAAATGCAGCTGATGATAGATTTTCAATGCTTACTCGTTTTTTTTTCTTTCGTCTTCTCTTGTTGTGACTGTCAAACTGAAAGCTATGGGAGAAAAGCACACACATTAAAAGGATATCCAAATTGCTAGTCATAGTTTTGGGCAATTCAATGTCTTGTTTTCATTTTGTTATTGATATGAAATTTTTATCTGTTTATCCGTTTTTAGACACACACAAAAAAATGTTTTGATTTTAACATAAAACATGATGTAGATTATTAACGGAGATAAACGCAACTGAATCACACCAATTATTACTAACATTTATACCGAAATTAATCTCAAGATAAATAAACAAAATTCTTATCAATCATTCACATTTTACTTACTGGATTTTTGAATGAAAATATTCTATTTCAATTGAAATTGTGAATCTAAACCAATACTGATTCGATTTTGAATGGCTTTTGTATTGATGTCACACGGAGAAAGCACATGGAAATTTCAATTATCGGAATTTCCACAGAGACCACCACACAAGGAAAGAAAAACGAAAACAGTCAACTTAACCGGAATGAACTTTGAATTATGACGACGTTTCTAAAATAGTAGGAATAAACAACACTGATATAGACAAACCGTCCAAACGAATGAACACACAAATAAGCCAACGCACACACATAAACATATGCACATATACACACGCACACATACAAAGTGCATGTGTTTTTGTTCGAATATAGGCCTAAATGTGTCTAGTACGCTGCCGAAATGAGTATGAATATTCCATAAGTAAATTCTTTTTCTCCGTTTCTTCAAGATTCGAGCGAGAGAAATAACGTGGCGGAAAAATTGTGCACGCATACAAAGAGACACACACACACATACACATACACACATCTATGTACAAAAACTGTGAGCAGATGCAACAAAATGTGTGGTGGTGTGGTGAAAAGAAAGTAGTTATTTATGTATATTAAAACAATGAAACGAAACGCGCGAAATGAGAAACGAGAGAGAGAGAGAGAGAGAGAGAGAGAGAGAGAGAGAGAGAGAGAGGGAGGGAGAAACATTGAATAATGGCTAAATAATAGAATTCAACACTTTATGATATACAAACACCATTGTGTTGCCTCATATTGAACGATATAAGCATTTGGCTTAAATAATTCACATCGATTATTAATATGATTGATTCCGCATAAATCACGCGAAGCTTCATTGAAAAATGGCATATTCAATGGCTTATTGAAAAATGACCGTTAAAAAGGCAAATGTTTTGACATTCATATTTACGAATCACAACTATTATTCTGTCAACGTTCATTGGGGTGCGTTCTTTTCGAAAACGAAATGTTCACATTTCAAAATGTATTCGAAACTCGAAACGATTTCAGAATAATGACTCAACAACGTTACATTCGCAGACGAGAAGATTTTACATTTCAAAGAAAGAAATTAATTTTGAAATTGAATTTCTTTGAAACGAGCATTAAATATGATTTTATGTTAAATATCTTACTGCATTGCAATGTTTGTCACAAGTTCATTGAAACTAGACGAGTTTTTAATCGAAATTTATAAACTAGAAATGGAGACGGTAAATGCATCGGAATGAAAACCCGGACATTTGTTTGGGAAACATACATGCAGGCTGTTTTCACTTTCAAATATTCGATATCAAAATGAATAATCTCGTCGTCTCAAATTAATCGCGTTTTCTTCGGATTGATCATTGCGGATTAATTAATGGGCTGAGAAATGGCTGTTGTGCAAATGATGATTCACAGGACTAATTTGATTGAGATAACCACACCACCAATGGCTCTGCAAACACTACTTAAACCTTCAACCACTTGAGCAAAAACAAACAAATATTAATGCCACTTCATTGTTGCGATGAAACTCAATGGAATGGTATCCAATTTCGAAGAAGGAAGAAATGATGCAATTGTGTGCATAATGAGCGTAATTAGTATTTGAAGGGCATTGTCAGAGATAAAAAGATTGAATGGTGCACCTATAACTGTACAAATATATCTATTTTATAACGAAAAAGGTCAGTAGCTTGTTGCCATTCACGCGTACGCCATACCCAAATGCATGATAATGAAAAATACAAATACCAAAAACAACAAATTTCCAATTCGACTAAGATAAAAACCAATCAGCCAACTGTCTAGCGTATTTTATACTGGAATGCGATGACATATAGGTATCAGATCAAGGATTCGACGATCAAAACGAAAAAATAATCAATTATTGGCCATAGAGACGAATCGAAAATGTATGTTATGCAATAACATAACAAAAGCTCTTATTTGCTTGTACCAGTGTTTGAAATATGTAGACCTGGACTTCAAAAATGATTTGCCACTGGCTTGGACATGATCTACAGGCGTCAATTATTTCTGCAAATATCGTTATCAGTGGTTTTTTTCTTTTGAAAAGTCAATAGAAATTAATTGAATCCCAGTGAGCAATTCTGACTATAAATATATGCATAAACCATAGGCATATAATGTGTATACAAGTATGCCTTATACAGGCCTCACTAACATTGTATTATTATACAGAATTGTGCCTATTTCAGGCATATGGTCCACTTTAGTAATTTTATAATGTGATTGGTCCATTGACTATACATATCTCAGGTCTATTACAGACATACAAATAATGGGCCTGGTCAGGCCTGCGCTGCCATATAAACTACATAGAAAGTGCGTTACAAAATCACCATCCTAACAGGCCTAAATCAAGACATTTTTGCTCATTGGGATACTTCTTACTTCTGCGTAAGATGGTAGCTGAAGTGGTCGCTATCTATTGTGTTTGCTAAAGTGTCATAATTGCAGAGCGTGCCGCTTAGAATTGCGATTGACCGAAATTTTTATTGCGATAACTTAACAAACCATTTCATAATTACGCTTGCACCGGATATATGGTTGTGTGGAAAATCAATTTTTTTATTTAACACTAATTACGCCGACCGAATCGAAAGGATTATTCAATTGAATTGAACTTGCGTGCGAGGTGGTGTGTGACGTCAATTTTAGTGCAAACTCATAATGGGCAAAGGATGAGTGGCTGATTGTCGTCATCATGCTACATATGCATTCCTCAGCTGATACTAAGACGACTTTTTGTGATGATATCAGAGACTCTGGTTATACTTTTTAAGAAATAGTTGATAACCGTGATCCTCAAAGATTATTGACCGAAATTCTAACAGCTCAGAAAAAAACTAAAACAAATATGAACTCGATCAAATGCCGTGCATTCTAGCACTGGATCTGACGCCATGGCACATGTAATGTTACCCAACAACTGTTTGATAAGGTGCGACAAATTATGGCGATAAGATCGCACTTTTAATGAAGTCAATTTTTAGGACCTTGAATTGAACCAATGCAAAAAATAAATAAATAAATAAAGCCGATCGAACCGAATTGAATCGAATAGGGAAACACATCTATAAAGATATCATCAAAGACAATGAATTTTATTTAATCAGTGTATTGTTGATCGTCATTATTGTGTTTTTAAGTGGATCAATGGCAGTTCGCTGAGTCGCTGTCGCTAACAAATCCACTATTTCACTTTCCTGATTGATCATGATATAACGATGAACTTTTCTCTCTCTCTCTCTCTCTCTCTCTCTCTCTCTCTCTCTCTCTCTCTTTTTCACTCTGCAGTGCAACATATCCAATGTTGATTTGAAGTCGTTCCACTTGAGCTCGTACGTCGGTGCATTGTTGTCAATTGCATTATCATCAAACCACTCCAACGAAATTAAAGTTTGATGATGAAAAATAGCGTAAAAAATGCACACAACACACCGTGATTCTATGAGATAAGGTTTAGGGTCATTAATGATCAACCGATACAGTTAAAAGGTAATTAAGCAAGCAATCGAATTGGTTATTGTTCTAACACCAAATAAGAGTTTTTCGATCCACCAAATTAAATTGGTAAATTATCACCTTAATCTATGCAACTTGGTCCATACGAATTTGCATTATGACTTTAATGTGAACACAAGATTTAATTTTTCGTTGTAACTCGCAATGAAATTGCATTTTAACCAAATGTTTTTGGCATTTACATCACAACAATGAATGTCTTCATACGTTGCAAAAGGAAGTATGCACGCGACTGATGGCTGGCTTATAATCTTCAGCAATAGAACTCTGCTCCAGTTTCAGCCACAAACAAATTGGCACACAACTACAAAACAAAACGGAAAATAATTACATCATCCAGTCGAGGCTAAGCGATGATGTATTTTTTTTTTCACTGCCAAGTCATTAACAAATGCAAATACATAAATTTTATATAAGTTTTTGAATCGTTAATGGTAATTTATTTATCTGTATCGATGAATTTATTTGAAAACGGCCAAGAAAATGATTGTATGAAGTATTGGATGCGATTTAGAACGCCGCAAAACAACAATTTCCCCGCTTTTATTTTCCACTAAAAAATCATTCTTTTGAATACGGTAAGTTTGCCATTAATTGCAACACATACCACACACATCACCATTTCTCTTTTGTACAAAAATGTGCTGCGTATCGTGGTCGATTCGCAACACTGTCATCTTTTCTCTTACAGAACAAGTTGCCATACACACATTCAAATGGTGGTATCAATTTCGTGCCAAGAAATAACTGCAATAACATGCAGTATGACAGTCTCAGCGTCGAAATACAAAGTAAGTATGATGTTAGAATTATGGTAAAATTTTTAATTGAAAAAATCATTATTCAATCGTGGATTCAGTGAAAAATCGTTAATTTAGTGAGAATTGTTGATCCATGATGGAATAATGCGGCGGCGAATGTGAGACACACACAAACAAATACCGCAAGATAATAATATCTGCATCATGCGATACTGAGAATATTCGGTTTCTTCTGAGTCTGTCACATCTACGAATCTTGCGAAGACATAAATTTGTACGAAACAAATTCAGTTGATTTAAAGTTGCTGTCGGATCCTGTTTAATTTTGGTGGAACAATCGCTTCTGTTTTTGAGTCAATTCATCTCAATTTTATATACGATACGTGTTCTTACGGTACGGCGAACGAATATCTAAAAATCATAGCGAACGTGTAAAACTTTCTTTCATCTAAAATTGATGTAAATTAGTGTCATAAAAATGATAGTTCGGCTTGATTGAGTCTAGAAAATTGAAAGTCAAACATTATCATTAAAACACGATTTTTAAAAGAAAATAGTCCAATGATTGCAGCACGTTTGAGGCAGCTTCTGTATATATAGACTAAAACGGTGATAGGCAAAGGTGCATGACTTGTGTGAGTGTTTTTTTTTATATTTTGTTTTATCAATTGTATATGATGAGAAAATGTGATCGACAGGAATGATCAATCAGAAACAGATTCGTGTGAATGAATTGTTTGTGTTTGATTGTTCGGTTGAAATGAGTTCGTTTTTCCGGCCAAAAAATGATAAGCAGAAATATGTGAAACAAAAATCGAACAATATTTCAATCAAATTGGTTTGGAAATATGCGAAATTGGCTTTTGAATGGAAAGATACAATTTGTATGGAAATTGTACAGTAGAAATGATTCGCAAAAAAAAACAACCGAGCCGAGTCTGCCGTAAGCAATGTGAATAATATACGCTTGTCTTCTCTCCTTTGTTTCTTTTCTCCTACTCTCTCACGTTTTATTTTTCCTTTGCGCTGCTACAAGATCTGGTAAATTCAAAGGTATGGTGTGCTGCGCGACTAATACGATCGCAATGTCAGTGTTTTCGAATGTTTTTTTTTTCGTGCAAAATATCGGCGTTCCGATACATGAATGAGACAGCAAAGGAAAGAGAGAAAGAGTGAATGGTTTGATGATATCAATAGTGCAAAACAGTTTGCGTGTGTATTGCATACCACATTTACGAACATCACACCGTGCTGGCTAACGGCTATCGCTCGAAATCACCTATAAACTTCAATAATATTTCTATGCGGAGCACAGTTCAAAAATATCACTTCGTGTGCCCGGAATTCAATCCAGTTCATCATCGATCGGCTCTTTCTCTCTATTTGTTCACATCCATCGAGACTGTTACCTGCTTGTGAGTGTGAAATGAAAATCAATGAATTTTTTTTTATCTTACGATAACGTGCATTGAGTTTAGACGTTTTTCGAGAATTTGTTTGTTGTTAAATTTGATGCATTGTTCTGAATCTGACTAAGTGTGTTTTGGTACATGTCAAAATCAATCATGAATGCTAGCGTTTTGCATTCGAGTCAAATTTTGAATAAATTTGTGCTAAAAATTACCTTGAATTTTCGGTTTAAAGAAGCGCGTGTATTATTTTGCTTTTAGTTGTTTTGCACACACTAAACACATGCATTCGCTTCGAAATTTTCAGAAAATAAATTGCCATATATTTAACAATAAACTTAATCGAAAAGACTTAGTGTCAATGTGGCGAAGCGTGAGATTTTGTGTGTGATTTTACAATTACACACTCACACATGGTTTACACTTTAAAACAAAAGAAAAAGTTCTACTTATTGAGCAGCGGTATGCTCGACACGCTTATTTTCTACAAATAAAGAGGCGTAAACACTCGTTACAAAACATTTCAATAGTGTTCACTTTAGTTTAATTGGACATCCAAAAAATGAACGAATTCGGAAGAGAAAAGAAGTAACAATAAAATTAATCAAAAAGAAGTTTCACATTAAAAAAAAAAAAAAACAAAATAAAATAAACCAGTACAATAAAGCCTAACAATAAAAAAATAATTATAACATATATTCGTGAAATTGTGTTCCGGTACTTTGTTATTGCTTGCACGTTTGGTTGTAAATATTTTGATCGCCACTTACATTTCAGTTTCCGTCGAAATTGTGATGAAAAAGCGCCAGTTTTGTGAATGATGTGTGTTCGTGGAAAATCTAAACGTTTTTTTTTTCGCATGTTTTTGTTATTGTGGTGGTTTTTTTTTCTCTCAAGTTTTGAATTATTTATTAAGTTCTCAGAGCTAGAATGCACATAAACAAAATTAACGTATGCCTACTATTTGTTTTGTCTTTTACTTCGCAGATTATAGAACAAAAATCAAGCGGTAGACGTGTCAAGGTTTTTCCGAGAAAAAAAAGAGATAACAAAAACGTAGAACTCCCACTAGTGTTCTGTTGTGCTGACAAAAAAAAATCTGATCAGTTGATTGGAGGTAAGCCGTTTATCATTTTAATGTAATTTTAGGAATTTAAATTAAATTTTTTCGAGAGTAAAATCAACAATTGTTTTTCATCGAATTGTTTGTTGGAAAAAATATCCCCATTTGCGTACGTCACGGTTGTTTTGTTGTTTTTCTCTAATCGAATGAAGATCACAATTAAATATATATGCGAAATTAGTTGCGAACACAAAATATTATCGTAGATTGAATTTAAAATGCAATTAAATAATTATTTACAAGTGAAAAAAACAATCCCATGCAGCGGTGATTTTCTGATAGTATTTGCAGAACAGTTAACTTGAAAGCATATAATCAAATTGAAGAAGGCACAATGTGCGCACCAAATAATAATTATTAAAATTACCGAGAACAGAGCCTGTGTCAACTCATACAGCCGCACACACACACACACATTGTTGTTCATTGTTGATGTGTGCACAATGATCGTGTCGGAAAAAGCATTGAATTTATGAATTTTAAATTTGGCAGCTTCAACATTTATTTTAAAATTTTTATTGCGTACTTTTTTCTGTCATTGTAAGCCCGCGGATTCGCGGTCATTCGCTCAATTGTCGATATAGATTTTGTTTTTCTGCGTAATACTGGCATATCAGTTGTTTTCTTTTTTTCCAAACGCTTCCGTAATTACAAATTTAGTGTTGCATGTGATTGAATTTATCGGTTCATGAATCACTGAAAACACTGAAGTTAAATCACGCAGAAAAAAATTGTATAATTTCACTATCAATTTTTATCTAATTGAAATGTTCGCTTCCAGCTTTGAAAATAATCAATCAATGATGGCCATAAATAGTTAAGCATGTGTGATGATATTTGGCAAAGTTATGAACAACAGTTCTTTATCAGTATTTGCCATTGAAATTTATTGCTTAGCTCATTGCGCGTATATTTCGTCGAAAAATGCTTTATGACACTACTTCTTGAATAAAGAAAAAAAAAGTGTGTTGACACTGACTTCCTCAGTAGAACATGTTGACAAAATTATGCCTGCATAAAAGTATTTCAGTTTGACATAATAAAAGGCAATCGTCAGGTTTGACGCAAGTACTCACAGAATAAATTTAATATATGACCACAGGTTTTGCGGATTTTCCTCATAAATTGATCTGATCATAGATAATGAGTCAAATAATTTTCAGTTCTGATTTTAATAACCAATGCAATATAACGACGATTTTTTTTCATCGTCAAATATTTCCATTACATCAATAATATTACACAATTTCTGATAAGACTCATTTGAAATCATCGTAAATACGCGTCTTTCATCTAGCCGCACACTTGCTCGAGTGGATTGTATTTAAACATTGACACTAAGAACTAGATTCAATGTAAACTTATTTGTTTTGAAGTGATTACATTGATTGATTTAAAATCTATACTCATTTCGATATTTGTGTCGCAATCTGTTGTTCAGTTATCGGGTTTTGATTTGAAATAATTTTCATTTGAATAACCGACTCCGACTCCACGCGCAAATCAAAATGCGACGGGCATTTTACTTTCAATCAATTATTTGTGTAGGATTTTCCCTATTGATACTAATTCAATATTGATATATTGTGTGGATTCATTCAATGAGTTTACAAAATGACATATCAAATGATTAGCAGTCGAATTGCAACGGAATTCCAGCCATCTGTGTACCAGCATAAACATTATATATTCATATTATCATTTGCTATCATAACAAAATGTGACACCAATTAGTGGTGCAATAAAGCAAAAAAGACAATGCAAATTAAACGGAATGAGTGCGCATTGTACTTGTAATTTGTAATATGATCCAAAACATATGTAAACAAGTGGTGAATAGCAACGAGCAATGGTCACAGTACAATATGGTTCGAAAGTGATTTCCCCATTTATTCACTAAATAACCCAATAATATATTGAATATGAAACATAATGAATAGAGAAAAAAGCGATTTAAACCGTTTCATGCCAGCGTTACTTTATGGTAACAGCAGTGGACGTTCAGACGAAGGCTTGTTCCTCGTGATTAAGGCATGCAAATTCGACAAGTGATCATTTTTTGTGCAAAAGAATTTTGCTGCTATCATTTTTTTAAATGAACTATATAAAAAGCGTCAGTAGCACGAGCCGTTTGGTCACAGCAAGCCTCTTTTTTTGGAAAACACTCGTCAAAAATCAAACGGTTAATGCAACTTTACATAAATGAAGGTGTTGTTTTGAATTAAAATTGGCTTTTTGAATCAATTCATGTTTCTGATATGAAATATGTGTGATTATCACCTTTAGCAAACTTGAACATCTTCACATAAGCTGAAATTATTTGTCCAACACACTACACGAATTCGAAATGAAATGAAAATCTCATTAAAAACCAATTTGAATACTATATTCACTGCAGCACAGTGAATTCCATTGAATAATTGACTTTTGATTTATCAAAGAAAAATCCAGGAAGAAGAATGTTCAAAGTCATATTTTGATTTAATACTCCATAGCAACGAGGAAATTTCAATAAATAATTCTATTTTTAAAATGATTAAAGAAAAAATGTCCTCCATTATTGTTTTCAAACAATTAGACCCCGAAGAATCGTAAAATTGTTCTTTTCTTTTGATAAAATAATTCAGCGGCACGTTCGGCATATGTAGCATTGTGCCAGTAATTAAATCAATTTCTTTCCATTCATTCATTCTAATGCAATTTACAAGCGCTTCACCAGATTCAAGTACATACCGCTTCATTTGGCATATATTTGCGATTGAACCATTTTATTGACATCAAAATACACAGAAAGCTTTCGGTGGGCACGATCTCACGTTTTTTTCAACGACAGCTCAGAAAAAGTAATGAAATTTGTTAGAAAAAAAAGGCGCGAAACCTGGAAATCATTTCAATTGATTGAACTTGAACTATTTTCATTGAAGGATAACACAATTTCAAACTTGCTCTTTAACTAAAGATACGAAATGTACAGATAATGCTATTAGTGCAAAGGTCTCCATTCAAAAAACACACGAAAATGTTTCGGCAGATAAACATGTTGGAACCATTCCATAAGATAATTATAATCAAACGTCTTTTGATGAGAATTTTCGAATTATTTTGGTTATTCCATTTTGAAAATAAGAAATCATTACACATCACAGTAGATATGCATTCAGCATACCGCATTGCATTTTTGGTATCACATAATAACTAAAGTCGAGAATTTGTTTTTCTCTGGATATTTATACGCTATAATGTATACCTGTGATATCCCTTATGTATCGCTTTTGTTTGGGACGCATACAAAACCGGTTTCGAAATACCAAACCTTCTTACTGTTTCATTCTGAAAATGGTAGCTGTTGGATGTGGCGAAATAATGCCAAAACTGCAATTTGAATTCGCATAATGGAATGAATATGCAACTGCACCAAGAAGACTTACTACTTGATTCACTAAATTATTTGCATAAACACTCTAGCACAGATGTAGAATCATTGACTTCAAAATTGTAGCGCTGATGATGTGAATGGAATTATTCACAGCCTATTCATTGTATTTGGGTATGTATTCAGCTGAGCGAGAAAAAAGAAACCCTTTAATGACTAAAAGGAAGACGCTGATTTCCACACTCATTTTTCATTCTAAATGACAGCTATCAACAATGATTCTTATCTGTTAATCACTGACTAAGTGATCTATAGATCATTGTAATGACAATAAAAAGGTGATCGATTGCATATTATCGGAGTCAATAAATAAAGCTACAAAATGTGGTGAAGTGTGGCTGTCATAATAATTGAATTCTCCTTAAATTTCAAGAATTATTCATTTTTTAGATTTTTTTCTTCTGTTGGAATTTTAATTTTCCCGGACGATAGAACAATATTTTGGATTTTAAATTTGATTAGTCGTTCATACTCAGCATAATACACCCTGATATGCTCAATATTATCAAGAAAGAACTTGAGACATTTGGTTTTGCATGATACGGTGTAGCTATTTTTAGTAGTATCGCTGGATTTCCACATCTTGTAGAAGTTTTACGTCATCACTGATTAACATTCCAAAAATCGGATACTCGCCAAAATGAGACGAGCCAAACGACGAGAGTAGACGGAGAGGAAGATTGCACGCCTGTGTGACGGGCCCACAAACGTGCCATACCCTTGACGTAGTGCGTTTTGATAGGCTCATTCCGTGGGCACAATCAAAACTAACTGAATTGTCTATATATACTACAATGAAACTGCTAAAACCAGACAATCAAAACATATGCACGTGACCAAAGGCAAACTGCTCACAAATTATTATACATATTTCTTACCAATACACACACACTTTGCTCATGCAAAATGATTTCACTACAATATTCGTTTTGCTGAAAGAATAAAATCGAATTTTCTCATTTCGTTTGCATATTTCGTCACAGCGGTGCAATTATTTGGATTATTTGGAAATAAATGTGTGCATCGGTGAAGGTGGATTCAAGGTGATGGAAATCACAATCTAATCCTCCACTCACGATTACTTTTCCAACCCTTTGTCAGTTCGTCTAGTTCCACAAAAGGTTGTCGTAATCTAATTAGCGGAAGAAATGCATTTTATATTACCCACCGAATTTTCATAATTTCACGACAATATCCCAATTACCATTGAAATAGATGAAATTCGTTTCAGTCCGGTAAAATATTAACCACAAGAGAATAGACAGATACATGTATACATTTGTATATTTGTGAATGGTTTTCTTCATCGCATGACCTGCGCATTGGCGCTGCAATATGAAACACGAACCAACACATGTATGCACAATTCAGACCCTCTTCGGTTCGGAATCCGTGTTTTATGCATCGATTCATTGAGGGATTGAGACCGCTCAGTGTGTGCGTAGGTGGTACATTGCTATCGTTGGCCTATTGAAATGTGCATTAGTATTTGTTTGTGTGTATTTTTGGCGTTGACATTCATATGAACCTTAAGACTAAGCGAAAAAAAATGAATAAAACCGTATTCCACATCGTGGCGGTATTCACTTTGTCTGCAAATCGTTGTGGCACCACAACAACATTTTTTGCTGTTGTTATCAATCGCTAAAACCAAAACGACAATAAGCTTCTAATCAATAAATTGAAATTTAAACTAAAAAACCATAAACGGTGAATTGAGAAATGTTCTGTGTGTTTATTTGAAAAAAAAAAGAAGATAATTTATTACATTTGGCAATAAAAACAAAGTGTCCAAAAAAAGTATAAAAACAAACTGATAGCAAAGCATATCATCGAGAGATACGAAGTTGAAATGTAAAATTTGGCGCGAATGAATGGCTTTTTCTTTCGTTACCATTATCAATTCCCTCTGACGAAACAATGTTCTCTTGCATTTGGTTTTTTTTTTCTTTTTTGGTGTTCGTGACGATATATCGACGATGTATATAGATCGTTTCAACTAAAATAAATAAATCTTTTCGATTTCATCGTGTTTCTATGTTCGCATAGACTGTATATAAAGAATAATCGGTGCTCGTGTTATCGCGTTAACTTCTAACGTAATTTGGAATACCACTTTTCCACGAAGTCTATCTTCGTCATATTCTATCGAGGAATTGATTATTTTGTGTGCGATCTCAATTTTTAATTAATGAAAACGACTAATTGCGTAATTGTCTACATTTTTGGCAAATTCTTTAGACTTTAAACAAAAGCTATTTCATAATCATCAGAAATTTCATGAATCAATATATTCTCGTTTCAATTATACGTATACGTTGATTACAGACTGACTTGAAACGAGTGGTGCTTTTGTTCTAAGATTACATAACGATTAAACGTTGTGCTGTCTTAAACATGGGAAAAATAGAGATAATAGCTCTATGGTTTGGTTTGACCGAATTTTTTTAAGGTCACCTGTTTTTATCGAACGTTTGAAATAAAGTAGAAGATTTTACGGAACGGCATTTGGGTGTGAAACCGAATTTGAATTCGATTGCGAAGAAAGCAAAAAATGTCGTACAATCGCTCATTTTAATGCGTAAAATCAATCATTTTATGAACGCATTGGATGGAGCCAAGCATATCTGTGGTACTAAAGTCATGCTCTCGTGAAGATTGAATTGTGCGACATTTCTTGTCCTACAGAAGGTCACCGGCACAGTTCAACAGAAGAATGTTTTTTTCCCTTTAATTTTCCCTTTATCCTCTCTGACTGCTTTGTCTACACACGAAGCGTGAGTGAGAGAGTGAGAGAGAGAGAGAGTGAGCTTGTCAGCAGTATGCGAACATAAATGCACTTGAAAGCTGAATACGGTATCTCAATACTTTTGGAGGCTTGTTTCGCTTTGCCTCGAAACGACGTGTACGGTATGCATCGACTGCGCTTCACTTTGTTCGTACACTGTGTAAGCGACAGTGTACGTGTTCGGTACAAAAATCGATGTAGATCATATGCAGTGCATTTGAACTGAATTGAGTTCGTTGTTCTTTGTATATTCTTTCAAACCTTCGATTCAATTTAAATTATTTAAATAACAAGCAAACATAGTCGAATAGAATGGAAATCACAAATCTTTTTTTTTCGGTTCACATCTGTATTGCGCGCATTTCGATAAGACGTAAAATATGTGAGAAAATGTAAAATCGTATGAATCAAGCGCTGATCCGATGTGGCACATAAAAATTGTGTTTCGTAACAATAGTTATCGATTCAATAAACGACGGCATCCAAAGTCGTGCCTTGAATTTGCACGATGTTGATTGGCCAAAACAGACGACACACAATGAACGTTCCGAATGGATGGCGTTCAATTTGAATGTGATTTTTTCAAGTTTGGCCTATTAATTGGACGAGTAAAAAGCCTCCACTAGGTCTTGCAGTGCATTTTATTGTCGTTATCAACTGTTGTTGGTATAATTACATCTTGCTGCTTCAAAACGAAAAAGATCATCGCTTTGATGTCATGACGATTTATGGCATTAGATGTGTATGTAAGAAACTGATCAATTGAAGTTTGGATAGTTGTTGTCAATTATAATGACGATAAATTGGAAAACGTCCACACACATCTGGTGTTGAAATGGAAAGTATGTTTTTTTTTGCTCATTTCTGCGTCTCAGCTGGACAAACGCAAAATGTTTTTCTTTATCAAACTTAAAATGTGCACAGAATAAAAACAGTCAAGACTAATGTTCACATCTGACAGACATATTTCTATTAATTGAAAAAAAAAACGGTTTCATTGGAACGAAAGAATAATTTTATTAAGAACATTTGAAAACATACTCATCACGGATTATGATGATGATTATTGAAATTTGGAGATGATGCTAGGAATTAAAGTCCATTCCAGTTCATCTACTTGTTGCTAGCTCAATCAGCTTTATTTTTTTGCTACATTTTATGGTAAACATTCAAATAAGCCGTAATACAAACAAGAAATCACATCTGTTTTTATCTCAGAAGCGGTTTGACGCTGAGCAACAAGTCATATATGCGTGTAAATCCATTCGAATGAAATCGACATGAAACTAACCAATCGAACCTCTGATCGAGGAATTCGAAAATAAAAATAGCTTAAACAAAAGTTGAACGAAGAGAAGGTACGAACCACATTGAATTGAAAACTGTTTTGTGCCTTTTACACACGATCGTTAATCAAATCATTCTAAATGAACATACACATGTGTAAGAACTGTTCTTTGTATTGCGGAGAAGGGAAAAAACGTCCAACTCCTCATACTACATATATGAACATAATGTTGTTCAATTTTCTCTGTGTTGTATTTTATTTTTTCGAATGTGTCTGGCTAATAACAAAAGGATATAACCCTTAAAGTAAGAGAGTCTCAGAAGGAGGTTCGAAGTAACGAAGCAAGAAAAAACAAGAAATGAAAAACATTCACAAACGCACACTAATACACTCTCAGTCGTTGGATTGTCGAAACGAACGATGAAAAATATAGACATTGAAATTTGGAGAAACGAAATTATCTGTTCTTTAGTTAGCATTCAATCGGTGTCGAGAAGAACCATTCTTTCAAGTCATAATCACAACGACGGACTTGCTCGCTGAAAATAATAAGAAATTTTTTACGAATTTATTTTCATGGCATAGTGTAACATTTTTTTTACATATGCTCAATTGTGTTATGTGCGGTTGTGATTGTTTTTGTATCAGAATTTTAAATTTTTATTAAAGACTCTGTTCCTACAGTTTTCTATAACATATCGTTAAAGTAGACTACATCTCTAGCTTAGCGCTGGGTATATGTGTGCATGGCAATATTGTTGAAAACAGAAAAGATTCAACGCCATTGATATTATCATTTAAAAAAAAGTGAAAAAGAAAAAAAAAGAAACAGAATGGAATCCGAAATCGGTAGTATTGAATCGGCCGAGTGTGAGAGATTGCTTAGTGGCAATGTTGTCCAAGCGCAAATTTATGGAGCAAAAGAGCCGGTATGTTAGAATCTGGCATTTCAGCCACAAGCGACAAAGTGTTCTATGCATTTACAATCAATCAATCACGTTATATTTTGTTTTTGTTATTGTTTTTGTAGTCGTTGTTTTATTTATAAAAATGTGTATATACACTTCATAGTATTAATATAATTTTTATACGGTTTTATTATTTAGGTATCTTATTATTTTAATTTTGCCAATGAATAGTTTATTTTTTCCTTCATTTATCAATAAATGAACTTGGAAACTGAATTTCGCAATTCCATACAGTTGTTGGTCAGCGAAGTGGCTTCAAAGAAGCTATCGAAAATACAAAAACGTTTGTCATAACATTTTTTTCGTTCATTTTACAGGGTGCTCAAACTGCTATGATGGCTGACTCAAGGGCTTCAAATCCAAGCAATACTCTACCACAATATATTGCTGCTCTTGCAGGTAAAAATAAAGATGTTCGCTCGAGCGATCGCACTTTCTTCCCTTTCTGTTGGCTGCCTCTATTCTAGTAATACATTACTTATGTTGACTGCCAGCAGTGATGGCCCAATGCCAATGCAGATTTTTTTTCATTCCGTTGATGGATGAACCAATAAAGGAACCAATGTTGACTCTTTTTGTTTTGAAATTGCAGCCACTGGTGGCGCATTTGCGGCAGGTACAACGCTTGGATGGAGTTCCCCAATGAAAGAGTTGATAGTATCAAACGAAACATTTACATCGGACGAGTACCCATTTAAAATTACCGAAGATGACTTCTCATGGGTTGGATCGCTCGTCACTTGTGGTGCAGCACTTGTTTGCCTCGTCATTGGTACAATCATCCAAATCATTGGTCGTAAATTAACAATGTTGTTGCTGGTAATTCCATTCACTATTGGATGGATTCTAGTGTTATGGGCCACGAATTTGAGCATGCTTTTTGTTGGCCGGTTCTTACTCGGTGTTTCGGGTGGTGCATTTTGTGTGAGCGCTCCCACTTACACAGGTGAAATAGCCCAATCAAGTATTCGTGGCACACTCGGAAGCTATTTTCAGCTTATGTTGGTAGTCGGTGTCCTGTTTTCATACGTCGTTGGCACTTACTTACACGTTTTCACATTCAGTTTGATTTGCTCTACCATTCCCATCATTTTCGGCATTATTTTCATGTTTATGCCAGAGACTCCGTCGTTCTTGTTATCAAAAGGCAAAAAAGAAGCTGCAGCAAAATCGCTAAGATGGTTGAGAGGCCCTGACTATGACTACAGGTAACGATAAATTTAGATTTTTAAGATTTTTTTTTTCGAAAAAAAAAACGATAATGTGTTAACAATGTGAATATAACTTTTTCTCCCTGTATTTTCATGATCGAATTTTTTTATTGTATAGTCATGAATTGGCTGAACTTCAAGCGCAACAAGATGCCGATAAGAAGAACAAAGTATCTTTGGCAGCAGCTCTAACACGTCGCTCAACAATCAAAGCAATCTTCATCAGTTTGGGTTTGATGTTCTTCCAACAAATGAGCGGTATCAATGCGGTCATTTTCTTCACCTCAGACATCTTTAAGGCTGCTGAAACTGGAATCGATGCTGGCATCGCAACCATCATAGTAGGCATCATGCAAGTCATTTCTGTCTTTGTATCGTCACTTATTGTGGATAAATTGGGACGTCGCCTGCTACTCTTGCCATCAGCCATCGTAATGACGCTCTGTACTATTTTGCTCGGTGCATATTTCTTCATGAAAGACCATGTACGGCTAGTAGCAAGAATTAAGTTGTGATTACATTTAATGAGACAATAATCATTTTGTTATATTTTACAGGACAGAAATAGTGTTGCATCACTTGGTTGGCTACCGATTGCATCATTGTGTGTATTCATCATTCTCTTTTCGATCGGATTCGGTATGTTTTTCTATTCATTTGAATCTCTTTACTTATTAATTAACCTCAAATTGTTCTTCTTCTTTTTTCCGACAGGACCAATCCCATGGATGATGATGGGTGAATTGTTTTCAAATGACATTAAAGGTGTTGCCGGTTCAGCAGCTGGTGCTTTCAATTGGTCTCTGGCATTTTTGATTACATCAACATTCACTACTATGAACAATACATTTGGAAATGGACAAACATTCTGGATATTCTCCTTTTTCTGCGTTTTGGGCTTGTTGTTTGTATTTTTCTTCGTTCCAGAGACGAAAGGAAAGTCATTGGCCGATATTCAAAGAATGTTGGCGGGCGAAAAAGTCATTGGCTCCGAAAATCCAACCGGCACTGGCACAACGGATTCCAAGTTCTAATCGGTTTAGCTCTCTCAGAAGCCAAACTCTTCAGAAAAAAAAATTCCAACAAAATGTCATTTCCAAAATATAAATGTTTTTATTTCGTTTAATTTTCAATTGTAATTTAAAATGAGAATGTTAATTATGTCTTACAGAACTGATTAAGTGGTTTTTACTTAAGAATTGTGGAATTCCCCCATAGTGTGTGTTTTTTGTAGAACCGATGACTGACCTTATACAGTGAATTATCGGTTTTTATTTTTCAATTTTTTTTTTAGTCAAATTGATCCGTTGGCAATTAACATTGATTTAAGTTGTTCCAACTTTTCAAAAATACAGGAGTAGAACAGTAATGACTCATCAGTCAATGGTCATTATTTTTGCACACGGGAATGAACAAACAAATAGCATTTCTTTTAACTTGTGTAATTAATAATATTCAACTTAAACTGCTGTTTAATTAGTTAGAATTTTAAATTGATGTGATGCAAATTTTAAGGAGAAAAATCTGCAATTTATTCAACATGTTTACAATTTATGTTCATACCAAATTGATGTTAATCCATTAATCCATTTACAAAATTTCTATTATGATATTAATCGTTGAATGAAAATGTCTGGTTTCGAGCAACAACAAAAAAAAATTAGGAAGAAAAAGAAGAACAAACCACACTCAAGAGATAAATTGAATTCAAAACATTGTAATCGGATTTTGCGAAAACCAGAAATGCATACAAAAGAAGCCCATTCATTACCAAGTGATGATTGCAATTTACCTAAATGCTCATGAACACGAATTCAAGTTCATTTTTTTTTGTGAAAATTAATTTATATCAACACACAGTTGGTGTCATGCATATCGAATTCATCGAAATTTGTACAAAACATCCCATACGTATGAGAAAATAAATAAATCCGATTAATGGACGGAGTGTGTGATGGGAGAATGAATGCTCAAGTTTACGAACATAATAGCATAAGGAGCTATCGCTTCATATTGATGTTTTTGTTCTATATCGAGAATATGTTTGAACCTTGTGTCTTGTCTAACATTTTAGGAAAGGGAAAATTGCACTAGATTCGAGTCACTCACGTAAATACGAACGAATTTCAGGGGAAAATGACAACCAGTTTTCCAGTCAAATAATTTCCTTTGATTTCCGTTGATGTGCTACATTTTCAAATTGTTCTTTGTCAAATGTCTACGTCAAAAAGTAATCGAATCCAACTTTTCTAGAACAAAACAAAACATCACGCGAGTTGCCGATGAATGCTAAAATTTTACATTTTTGGTTTTCAACCATTTTTCTTCATTTTCAATACAAACAAAAGCAAATTATTAGACTTAGAGATTAGTAATGTTTGAAAGCGTAAAACAAATAAAAATGCCAACAAAATTCAAGAGCATGCATTTTCAGTTATTTTCCCAAATGGTGCAAATAATGAAAGTATGACGATTCTGTACACATGATAATAAATTGTTGGCATTAGTTTCCGAAAACGAAACACAAATTTGACCAGATGGTTAAAAATGTATAGTATAAAATATTGGTGGCTTTTTATTTATTTTTTGTTCAAATATATTTTCAGCGGTATATCTGTTGGTGACAGGCAAGAGTAATTGAAACGATTTCGGCTTTCTCTTGAAAAACTCTTGATATTTCCAGCTATGCCATCGTATTTGTTGCTTGTTAATAGGAATGGAAAAAAAAACATTTTCTTCACGTACAAAAGACCCGATAATTCTTGAATCATTTAAATTAGAGGCTTCGATCAGATAACAAATAATAGTATTCATATATGAACAATGGTAATTAAGTTGAAGAAAATCAAATAAAGCAAGACAATACATCACCCAATTCAAAATTAAAACAGCTTCAGTTCAATTGTAACGTAATTCCTATACACAGTGCATTGTACTATGTATTACAGAGCGTGACTTGTGTACCACAAAAATGCGGCTGAACATGTGATTATTTTTTCCTGAAAAAATTTACGATATTAAAAGAAATTTAAAAAATCGATCGTCAAGCTTAAAGAATATATAGTAAATGAACTATAATCGTTCGGAAGTTTACTTATCAGCGCCGAAAGAAGTGCGTATTGAATGAAAAAAGGGAGATTTGAAAAAAAAAATCAGCACACAAAACACAACAACAACAACAGTCGTCAATTCTTTGAAATGTATTGATGCAATGTAATTCATCAACATGAAGTCTTTTCAACACAAATGAAATCGCGCTCTTTATCGCATATAGTTCGATCAACCCTTCACTTGAATTGTCAACAACCTCTTCCTGCTCTTTATGGTGCATCATCTGATGTGGGACAGTGTCTTTCAAAAACCGACTGAACTAAATTTAATGGATCAATCTCTTTTTCTGCAATTTTCAAATGCCATTGTGACAATAAAACCGTTCAAACAATGAGACATGGTTAATTGGTCGTTAAATTGAAATGATTTTATATCTCTTAGCTCAACGAAATATTATGGCAACAATTTCATCAAGTTTGGTATCACATCGCGCCAATTATTATTCTGTTGGGAGCTCGTTTTTTTCTTCTTCTACACGATGATAACACAAGTTATTGTTTTCGGTTTATTTGCTATTTATTCGTTTATATACATGCTGTGAAACAAGTATGCAGACCATCATTGAAATGAGAAACACAATGACGACAACAACAAAAAAAAACAAGAGAAAATAAATAAGTCAATAAAGATGGAATTACATCGATAGCATTTTGTTGCATACCATTCTGGTCGTCGTGCGGGAGATAAATCAAATTAAATTTAGTGTACGCTTCGAAAGGAACGGATCGTGAACAATTTGTTCCCGTTTTGAGTGAAAATTTTTGTGAGAAAGAGCGAACGTTGAGTTTTCATTTCAACATTCCATCAGTTCTAAGACGACAAAGCAAACGTTAGGAAGAAAATCAAAAGAGGTGATAACTTATTCAACATTTTATTTTTGTTCATTTTTCATTATGATTTTTTTTTCAATTACATTTTTATTGATAAATTAATAAATAATCTCACTCGTCCATAACAAAGCTGCTTCGAATAAACAGAAAAAATACGTTTATATGCAATGAATATATTTGTTGTGGGAAATCTAACTGACCAAATGTAAATATGGGGTGCGTTCTATATTCCATTTCTTTCTTTCGAAATGTAAACAAAGAAATTTTCGATATCTAAATGTCAATTTTCGAAATTTGTTGCTCCACAATACTGATTATAAAGCAAATAGCGTTTTCAGTGGTGAACTATTCAAGTGTGTTCGATTTGAAAATTATGTTTTGTTCAATAATAATTTGTCATGTCGGGATCACATCGATATGACGAGCGACGGCCTTTGCTCCAATCGGAGCAAATTCCATATAATACGAACAATGAACGAGTGCTGGAAAATGGATTGGTAATATATCAGGGGACAAATTGACGAGACCTTTTTTTTAATAACATAAATTTTTCATTCGAAAGCGTGCAAAATTTAGATGTGTGAATATTCAATTCTCAAATTCAATTGTATTTTGCCAAATCTAGAGTGACGATCCAACGATGGGTGTTGATATGACGTCTGGAAATGGGGCAACGCGAGCAAAACGGTTACCACAGTACATTGCCACGATTTCAGGTATGAAAATAATGGACAAGTTCAATATCCATGATACACTCAATAATTTGTTCTTTTAATTCTCTTCTAGCGACGACTGGCGCTTTGGCAGCTGGCTGTGTACTAGGCTGGAGTTCTCCAGCGCAGCGCGCAGTTGTGAAGGATCGTGTATACGGTTTCACTGTGACCGATGAGCAATGGTCGTGGATTGGATCACTCGCAACTGTGGGAGGCATCATCAGTTGCCTGATGATTGGTTTAGTTATGGATAAAGTTGGTCGAAAGTGTACAATGCTCCTGCTTATAATTCCATTTTCGATCGGTTGGGCAAATTTGATGTTGCCAGTTTCGGTATTGATGCTGTATATCGGGCGATTTTTCGTTGGTTTTGCTGGCGGAGCATTTTTCGTAGTAGCTCCATCGTACATTGGAGAAATAGCATCAAAAGATATACGTGGCACTTTGAGCAGCTATTTGCAACTAATGGTTACGGTTGGTATTTTATTTGTGTACGTGATTGGCCATTTTTTCGCAACAAACACATTCTTCACATTCAACATTATTTGCGCAATCTTGCCGCTGATATTTGGAGCCGTATTTGTGTGGTGTCCTGAAAGTCCGGTAATTTCTTTTGCTTTTACATGGTTTTAATTTCATAATACATATGTATATTTTTCTTTTTATTTTTCTGCAGTACTACTACATAATGAAAAATCAAACGGTAAATGCGGAAAAATCGTTGAAATGGTTGCGTGGTGAAGACTACAATTTCAACGATGAACTAACTGAAATTCAAATCGAACACGATCTGATGACACAAAATAGAACAACTTTTTTCACTGCTATCAAACAGTCAGCCACAAAACGTGCGCTTTCGATAAGCCTCATTTTGGTGCTTTTAACCCAATTGAGCGGTATAAACGCAGTCATCTTTTACACTGAGTCGATTTTCGAAGAGGCTAATGCAGGCGTTGAATCATCCATGGCAACTATTTTTGTGGGCATCATGCAAGTCGTGGCCACATTTGTTGCTTCATTGACTGTTGATAATTTGGGCAGGCGAATGCTACTGGTAACATCCGGTTCAATCATGTGCATATGTAACATTGGCATGGGAACGTATTTCTATCTGCAGGATAACAATAGTGCATACGTCCAACATTTAAATTGGTTGCCAATAACTGCGTTATGCGTGTATATAATTTCATTCTCTTTGGGACTAGGTCCAATCCCATGGGTATTAGTTTCTGAAATTTTTACGACCGAAGTGAAAGCCATAGCAAGCTCTTTAAGCGGCGCCACATCGTGGTTTATTGCTTTCCTAGTGACAAAATTATTTCCGAACGTTCGCGATTTGATCGGGGCTGGGTGGACATTTTATGGATTTGCTGCTTTTGCTGCATTGTGCACGGTATTCGTATTGATGATAGTGCCCGAAACGAAAGGAAAATCATTCAATGAAATTCAACGATCACTCCACGGTCAGACGAATAACATTGTTGAAACTGACGATGACGAAAACAACACTACGATAACAAATGCCTCTCAGAATACTATTGCCATTTGAATTTTCCAAAGAAATGAAATCTCTTATATTTCACCCCTTATTAGCCAATGTAAATTATCATTTTTTGCCAAGTAAACTTTTCCATCAATATAGAGCAAACATTTTAAAATTTATTACATTTCAATTGTAAACATTATGAACAACATGGCTTTAAAACAATAAAATGCTTTGCTTGTGAATTGATGTGTTGGTTTAATATTTCATCAACAAACATTTACCCCAAAGATGACTTTAGCGCACCCGAGTATTTGTGTTGTTTTTTTGTTTTTTTCTTCATTATACTTTACCATTTTGGTCAAAAAAAACTTTGTATCAATATTTTGTGTAACATAACAAAGAACAGTTTTTGAAAAACCACATTTATATTAGTAAAATATGAAGAAAAAAAAGTAGAAATTGCGTAATATTGCAAAATTAAGCCAATGCGCATAATTACTAAGTGCATATGACCACACAATGCGAATACCGGGGGCAGAAAATGTAAGCTCTTCTTCGTTATGTTACACAATATATTATTTTAAAAAAATCCTGGCCAAAAAGCTAAAGTAGAACGAAAAAACAACAAAAATACTCGGGTGCGCTGTAGCGCACTTGAGTGCGCTAAAGTCATCTCTGTATTGAAGTGAACAAATAACATGAAATTCTAATTATTTACGCAAACTAAGTTCGATTTTTTGAAGTTTAAAATTCAACAAAGCCAAATAATCCGACAAACTGAATTTTTATGATAAAATAAATGAAATTTTATCGACATTGTGTAATATATTATATTAAGACTTGAAAACTTCTAGCACATTGAAACAACTGACATTTTCATTTCCATTCAAATCTGGCAATATAGCCAACAATGCCATATTGGTGTGATCAGCGTTCTTTGAAGGAAAGGCGCCGTCATAAGGAAAGAACAACAATTCAAAAAAATCATTCAATTCAAATACTTTTTTTATTGTGCACAATTGTGTCTCCAATATATTGACACATCAAGAGTAGAAAATTTCAACATTTCCATTCAGATCTCTATAAGAGTTTGAAATATATACCGTATAGTTAGTATTTAATTGCCATCATAACCTTATCGCAACTTAGAAGGCGTTTTGCGGATTTTTTTGTTGGTTTTCTCCAGCATGAGAAAGCATATTTTTTCATTGACGATTTATAAGAAGTAACAAACTCTTTGCATAGGTGACATTCGTACCTACTGTTATCTGCGGAACTGCCATTGCGAGAACGGAATGAGGACCCATCTGTATATATCATAGGCCCTCCCAAGACTTTTCTTTATTCAGTCTCCGAGATTCGGAGTCCAAAAACAATTTGTGATGTATGCTGACATCTTCATATTGGCCAAGAATGACCTGATATGTCGTCCGCATCCAGCTAGCTCCCTTTTCCTTTCCCTTTTCAGCTGATGATCGAATCAATCTACATGCGTTTGAAAAATGGGCAAATGCGTCGCCAAACCGAGGCTGTTACCATCATCAGCGAAAGTGTTCACCAAATTCTCTTCATAAAAGCCACCAGATTCAATGGAATTCCAGGTGTTTCCCAAACTCGAATCTACTGCTAGTTTCCAACAGTTACAAACTACGAGTGCGTTCACCGTGTCATATGGAGTTTACGAAATTTCGAAATATTTCACCAACACACGAATGTGTGTATCATTGATACAAATGTATTGGTCATGTGACATTTGATCAAGAGCAAAACAGATAGTCATAGAAAGAAGAAAAGGGACTGAAATAAAATAATAGTCATATATAATAACGCAATTGCATTACATTCATGCAAAGAATAGATGCGATAATTGATACACTCAGGAAAACATCTATCATTCAATAAATGATTTGTATGTTTAATCGGAGGATTTCGTTTGTGTGAATTTTACAACATACAAGGAAATTGGATATCGAAACTTTATGGAAAACTACGATCAAATACGTTATTTAATAAATTAGTTGGACATAACAAAGGAACCAATCTCATCGATAAACAAGTGGGTATGTGTGATATTCAATATGGTACTTAAAAAAGCATTTTTTGATTTGTGATGAGGCATTGAATAGTTTCGATACGTTTTTAAATAATTGTATTTTATCGATTTCAGTTCGTCCATCAATTTAATGCAATACGCATTAAACCAACTACATCCATGTCTGGTGCTTTTCGTGGGTGATCGTGCTGAATAATCAGCACACAAATGTAAAAACGAAAACTAATACGTACGTCGTACGCCTAACATAAAATTGTACACACAAGGCCATCAATATTTGGATAATAGACAACACGAAGTTACTGTGGCATCGTTTGCACAGATTGTTTTCGTTTTGAATTTAGAACGAAACGTTTAGTAAAATTGAGGAAGCTGGAAGTAGAGTTGCAAGCGCTCAGGTTCGTGATTGCTTAGAAATGAGTAGTATTACACCTGAAAAGTGCGCAAATATCATCGATTGTGACAGTGACGACGATTTTGATAACAACAACGACGACAAAGGAGATTACAATGAAATCAGCACTGTAGATAATAAGCAACAAGCGTCTCATAAGTGTGGCACAATAAATATAAGCCCAAAGTTGAATCAACGGTCACAAAGAATGACCAACGATTATTCAACGTCGAACAATCAAATAGAAAAAATGTCAAAAGATACAAGAAACCAAAGAAAGACCTTTAACCCAGCGATAGCTACAGCTACTTCGACCGCCGAAGAGATTGGGTATTCCACAGTGACAACGACAAGCAGTCATCCGTCTGCATCTTCGTCATCATCGCAACTCAGTCCAATGTCTGCGTTCAACGAGGATCGAATGCGACGCAAACTGCAATTTTTCTTCATGAATCCGATTGAAAAGTGGCAGGCGCGTCGTAAGTTCCCATACAAATTCGTGGTACAGCTCATCAAAATTGTACTACTTACAATGCAGCTGTGTTTATTTGCCCACTCGCGATACATTCACGTCAACTATACGTGGGATAATCGTGTGTCATTTTCACACCTATTTTTGCGCGGATGGGATGAATCAAGTGAGGTGGAATCGTATCCAGCATCCAAAGGGGCATTTGCATTATACTTTCAAAATGAATTTTACGAAACAATCGACTATGCCATGGCTGGGTATGCTAATCTAAGCCATGCGATCGGCTCCTACTCGTATCCAACTACAGACAATACGATGCCGCCCCTTACACTGTGCATACATCATTACGAACAAGGCGAGATATACGGTTTCAATGAGAGCTACGCATTCAATCCGACAATAAATGTGATTTGCACCAATCTAACGAGTAACGTCACTGAAATGGGCAGTCGAGCTTATTTGACGGACAAAGGCATCAATGTGAATTTCTCGGCATTCGTCCGGGCAACACTAACCTTTTCAATAAAGACCGTCAATTTTAAAGCAGCTGGCCCATTGGCCGCACCGGATTGCTATCAATTTGATATTGAAATTCTTTTTGATAACAGTGATCATGATGGCCAAATGCTATTGTCGCTCGATGCTGAACCGGTTCGATTACAATGCCACGGTGATACTGCGTATGATGCGGATACAGCAATCGACACCGCTCTACGAAGCATACTCAATGTGTTTGTAATTCTAATATGCGTTGCATCATTTTCGCTGTGTACACGCGCTCTGTACCGTGCCCGACTCTTGCAGAAACAGACTGATACATTTTTCCGTGTTACCTATGGATATCCGTTGAGCAATGAAGATCGCTGGCAATTCGTCAACTTCTGGTACATTATGATCATTTGTAATGATATTTTATTGATTTTAGGATCAATTTTGAAGGAGCAAATCGAGAGGAAAAATTTCACCGTCGATCAATGGAACATTTGCTCCGTGTTGTTGGGCGTTGGAAATATGCTGGTTTGGTTTGGTGTTTTACGTTACTTCAGCTTCTTCAAGACATACAACGTTGTCATTTTGACTCTGAAACAATCAGCACCGAAGATTCTACGCTTTTTATTGTGCGCTCTAATGATTTACGCTGGATTCACATTTTGCGGTTGGCTGGTGTTGGCACCATATCATATAAAATTCCGTTCGCTGGCAACGACGTCAGAATGTCTGTTCTCGCTAATCAACGGTGATGATATGTTTGCAACGTTCTCAATTATGTCATCGAAATCGCAAATGCTGTGGTGGTTCAGTCGCATTTATTTGTATTCATTTATTGGATTATTTATTTATGTGGTGATTTCATTATTCATTGCGGTTATTATGGACGCGTATGATACGATCAAAAAGTATTACAAAGAAGGATTTCCAACCAGCGAACTAAAGCGATTCATTGGTCAAATGCATCCCAACGACTTTTCATCTGGCGTATTCCGAACGTATGCAGAGGACGAGGAACAGGAATCCCTGTGGGATACAATGAAAAATGTCTGCTACTTTTGTTGTGGCCTTAAGAAAAAAGATAACCCCGGTCCCACTGGCTATGAAACACTCGTTACATCATAGCACCAACCATGTGATTTACACAACTGTATGCATTGAATGGAACCAACGCGGCAGAAGATCATCCTCAAAATGTGTATAGTGTGTAATGTATAAAGAAAGATGTGAAACTAATTAATAGGACAGATTTATTTTTACACCTCAATTATAGAAGAAAATAACCGAGATTCAACTGTGAACTGTTGCCGTTGAAGAAATATTGTTGTAATACTTTGTTTCAATTTTTTTTTCTTGATTTTCCAATAGCTTGAAAGGATTTGTTTCATTTTGCCGCGTCTGAGTGGCAATTTGTTAAGGCATAATAATAGAAATGATGAGAAAAGCCGATTTTATTGCATTGCATTTTTTTTGTTTTGTTTTATTTTGTCGATTATTTTTTTAAATGTCGTTTTAATTTGTCAAATGTTAAATAAAGATTCAATCGACAATTACAATCATGCGTTACTAAAGCTTCTACCTCACCTGACAATACAATATATTCGCCCCTTGATAAAAAAAAACAAAAAAATTACAAATAAGGCTAAATTTTATTTCACAATTTGTATGAATACATTCTTTTTATTTTGAACGTTTTCTCAAAAAAAAAATTGTGTTGGACATAAATTACGTACAGCAAAGTTAAATTTACTACTCTGAAAGTTTGTTTGGTCATGATAAAACAATCCACGCCTGTGGCCAATTTCTTCTTTTCTGTTTACTGTGACAACTTTATGATCGTGCAGCGGGACAAATATTTGCTATTCTCTCCCGTAAGTTCCTTCCTCTGTCCAATGGATAAGCATTTCCAAAAGCAATTAAGGGCATATGTTAGTAATGACCAGAAAATGACAAAAGACAAGGGTAGAGAAGATTGTAGGCACCGGATATACAGTAAAATGCACTCGACTGGAGTGTAATTTGAGTAGTATATTTTTAGGCGTTTTTTCAACTGAAAATGCATCGTTGTTGTAAGATTTTGTCTGGAACGTTTGAAAAATTGTATACGTTTATTATTCGTTATTTACAATGAAAAATCTCGTCAAATGTCATGCTCGATTTGTGCGGCGATTCGTAGAGTTTTTTGTCAGAAATTCTAACATAGAAAAGTGCATTAGAAAGGAAGAACAAATTCTACACAAGATTTTTCCATCGCTCAGGGTTTAACTCGTTCAAAACTCAAAACAAACAACATCCATTCCATTCCATTTGCTATTGTTAGCAAGCAAAAAACATGTTTGCAACATTTATTCAAAAACAACGAAAGTCGCTACTGAAGGAATTGATCTACGCATTTATATTATAAGGGAGAATTCCCTCATTTGCGTCCTTCTTTAAAAAAAGAGATATGAGAAAGGGAAGTTACAAAAAAGCTAATGAATCGAAACCATTTTGACCAATTGAATCGTATAAATATAGAACCAACTTTAACCTAAACTGAAATCATATCCAATGGTCCTTTCGAACTGAAATCATATCCAATGGTCAAATGGCGTACTTAAACTCAATTAAAATTCGAAACGCTGGCCGAAAAAATATCGAGTATGGAATACTCTAGGGATTTTTTACTCTTTCGCATACGTGCACATAAACGCGCATAGATTGTGTGCCACAGTGAAGAGTAGCGAACTTTGCACATAGTCACGAATATTACGCATAGAAGCAAATACGCGTGCACATAATGACGCCTAGATGCAAACATTTATTCGATTTAAGACGTATCAACATTGAATTCGAAATAGTCGATATCGGCGTGTGACCAATCAGAGAAGGGAACATTTTAGTAGGATTTATGCGAAATTATTCGCAGTATGAATTGCCTATGTGCAGTATTCGTGACCATGCACGGACATCGAACGTGCACTTCTAACGAATAGGCACCGCATAGTACGAATAAATCGGCACATACTATGAGTTGAAGCGCATGTTCTTCGCATTAAACGCATTTATTTCGAGTTAATGCTGTCCGGGTATGAAAATGCCATAGTGCAACGAAAATCATATTTTTTTAAATTCAAATATACAATCCTTCTGTACAACTCGCAACGTTGACAAAGTTCTTGTATTGAAATTTGTTGTTCATGCGTATTACTTTTTCAAATACTCTCTCCATGAACTTTTTTTTTAAATTTAAAGCAATCCATTTTGAAGCGATACTATTATTTAAAATTGGAAAACTTTAATCTTCTGAATGTTGAAAGATTGTTGTTTTTCATTAAAAACAAAATGAAATCAAAAATGATTTTGATAATTCGAAGCCCATATACTGTTATTGTGGACTTTTTCATTTCATTTAATTGAGAATCCGGCTGTTTCAATGGTCCGTTCAAATGTAGATGGCGTTGATTCGTATGAGAGATAGATTTGTTTATTCTTTGACACTTACATGAAAGTTCGTATGTGCGTGTGCGTGTGTGTGAAAATTGAAACCATATAAGTACACATATATAGCAATTGCAAAAGGCTAATATAATGCATCGAACGCGTCATTTTACGGAGCGTTGTCACAATTAAATCGATTTAATTTTAATTTGCTAATATTTTCGTGTCGAAACCAAAATAATTTTCGTGTTTGTAATAATAACTATTAATCGAATCAATTTTACTTTTGTAATAACTGGATGAATATAATAATGCCCTTTAATACGATAAAACTTTTCTTCGGAGACGAAAATACCTAAAAGAGTTTACGACAAATAAAATGTACGACAAACAAAAACCATCGCCAGCTACGATTAAAGTGTTTTTGCTACCATTTCTGTGAATTAAATCGGTTGGAGTTGTTTCTTCTGAAAATTTTAAGGTTTGGAGTGAATGCTCTGCAGAAAAAACAAAGCGAAACGGATAACTGTATACAAAAGATTTTTCATCTAGTAACCAAATTTTGTTTTGTTTCGTTTCATTCTATTGCGTATCATAGCGAGCAGTGTTTTTACTCTAACGTATTCAATCCAATTTGGCTTATTCTTCTTTTCAGCCAAATCATCCGTTGAATATATTCATTGTTTATAAAACACCAACATGGACCCGAAACAACAATCCGTTGTCCCACAATGCAACGAATGGAATATAATGGAAAATAACATGGAAACACTGCCACCTGCACACGATTCTCGAAAAAATATTCTGAATATTCTCAATGATCATTGCATTCAAGAAATCTTTATTCGTTTGCGTAGAAGATGCGAGTTCTTGAATGTCGCGGAAGTATGCACAAGATTCCAAAAAAACGCCATAAACTGTTACCCTTCGCGTCTGAAAAAGGCCACATTTTACAACGTTCACTTTCCTCATAATATGCATCCAAATCGTGTAGCAAGTTACTTAAGTATATTTGGTCATTTGTTGAAGACGATCGATTTACATTTTGACAATGAATCAAGAGATACTAAACTAGAACTTAGATCCATGACACCTAATGACTATTTCCGTCTCAATCATCTCCACTTGATCACTGAGTACTGCGGAAAAAATTTAATCGAATTGAACATTAATGCGGATGGCCAATCTGACGTCTGTTGTGTGGATTTAAATGAATCAAGAAGTTCTCAGTTTGAAGTTTTGGAAAAGCTAACAATAAAGGGGTGCATAATTACAAAACTTGGTCTATTTAAAAATCTCAAATATTTGCACGTAATAATATGTGAATTTGAAAATTGCGATGGGCTTGCAAACACATTCCCTAACTTAACGGATGTTCACTTTGCCGTGGTGAACAAAAGTATTGACGACTCTTCGTTCATCGATTTTCAAATGAAAAATTCACAAATACAACGTTTGGGTGTCGCCAATTGCCGCTGTCTCTCTTCTCGCATACTTCAAAATGTCGAGAAACGACTGCCAAATCTCGAACGCATACTTTATGTTTCGAATGAAGATGAAGAAGAACATCGAAACAATCTAATGGATGTGAGCGAATTGAAAAAATTGAAAGAATTGAACATCAGATTTAATAGATTGGAAGATATGCCAAATAGAGCACTTATCGATCGTCTGGCTGATCGAGAGGTACCTATTGAACATTTGTATGTTAACCGTTTTAACGATGTTGAAGCTATATCGAAACTAAAAAAGCTGAGATCATTGAATATATTCGATTGTAGTAAGGAAATTGCAATCAGATTAATTGAAAGTATACCAACTCTGAATACTATTGATAGGGTGGTTGTTAAACAATTATATGATGTAGTTGAAGTCTTAGAACAGTCAAAGCAGTTGACCAGAATCACAATCGCAGCAAATGTACAAAAAATGAATTTACAAAGTTACAATGCAATTTTGCGTGCAGCCAAAAATCGTGTAAAAGTTTGTTTAACACTGGGTTGTGTTATTGAAGTTGATAAAAACATCCGCGAATTAAATAAAGAATGGCTACTTTGTAACGGAATTGACGAACGGTAATTTTAATAATGTGAATTTGACACTAACAGCGTTAATGTGATTTTGCATTTTTGAAAAACTGGCATATAATTTTTGAAAATGACTATATTTTTTGAAAAATGTATATACGATTTGCCCGTTGAGCCAAAATCTCAGAAAAAATAACCATAATAAATAGCTCGAAAACACAATTAAAATTGAAAATAGTGTCAAATTGACACTTCCAGCGGACGCGGGTTAAGAAATAAGCCTCAAAATCAACCAATATCACGATTACATGAACAATATTACATTAAAAATATATGAAATGCGTAATAAAATAATGAAACTTTGATATACAGCAGTAAATTGTGTAAATAGTTCTGATCCGAATAGCCCCTATAATTTTGATCCGAATAGCCCCATGATACCATTTTCGAAATTTTGCCCCGAAAAATATCACGCACCAAATATTTATCCAAACTGTTATTATTCATAGATAATACTCGACATTAGCTTCCAGACCATAATACCTTTCAATTCGTTGCTTCACCAAAACAACAAGAAAGTTGAAATTCCGTGATGATGAAAATATTTTGGCGAAAGCACTCAAAACACATTTTTATCGTTTTACGGCATACCCCGCACACATTGCATATTCATTTTAGCTGCCAAATATGGCTACAGGGCATAACTTTCCCGGTCATAATTCCACCGAATTTCGGACAAAATTTCTTCAAAATCCAAAAAAATCTATGGGCAAATTATGTCCATTTTCAATTGGATATAATTCCACTGACTCTTTGGTCATAATTTCCCCGAGAAATTATGTCCATATGCATTTGGATATAAATTCTTCTGATATTTGGACGTAATTTCTCAAATCAAAATTGTTTCGATGGGGAAGTTATGTCCAAATCTGAAATGGAATTATCATCTCCATTGGTACATGCATAAAACATTGGGACATCGGCACATTGAAGAAGAGATGGAGAATGGGAAATGTGACGATTAGCCCAGAATTCTTGGAATTTTGGGTCGGTTGGAGTAAACGCAACACGACGGTATCACCGTCGGCATCGCGTGCACCTCCAATAGATCAATCGACACATTTCTCATTCCCGTTGTTTTTTTTAATGGATGCGATGATATTGAGCACTTTCACACTTCAGTCTGAAGTAACATGAGTGACAAGCAAGTCAATTTGTGCTTAAATTTTGAGTTTTTTCAATCAATTTTTTGAGATGCTTCGAGCTTGAGAGAGCTAATTTCAACGAAAAGCTAGGCCGGCGTGACATTGAACCCACATTTAAATGTCCTCTTTGCCAAGCCCAAATAACGAGCCACATGCACATACAAAATATGTGGAGTCTACCCAGACAAAAACTCTCAAAATTGATTTTTCGAGGTACTTCCCGAACAAAAGTTACGTTTTTCATGCATTTTGCTATGAAAATAACATTATTTGTTCGGGAGGTACCCCAAAAATACACTATTTGGATGTGTTTCTTAGTAAAAAATTAATTTTTTCGAGAAACGTTGGCGAATCTGCTCACACAGAATCTCTTATAAATGATTTTTGGGGTACCTCCCGAACAAAAAATGTTATTTTCATAGCAAAATGCATGAAAAACGTAACTTTTGTTCGGGAGGTACCTCGAAAAGTCAAATTTGAGAGTTTTTGCCTGGGTAGACTCCCCATATTTTCGAGAAAAAATAACTTTGCGCCAAGATACCATCCCTGAAAAGCCTATATTTAGGGATTTTTGGCCAAAAGTCGATTCTTTTAGAGTTGAAATCGAACCAACCAAATATGCGGCCAGAAATATGTGGAAACTTCACTCGATTTGGTCATGTAAGTACTCAAAATGTTCGTAAAGGATCATACTAGATGTTGAAAGGCAGAAAAGGTAGAAATTATTTGTTTTTACCTGTCAAACCGAAGCTCATGTTTGTGATTTGCCAATTTTGGCCTTAGATTTGTCTTATATGTGTCGATAAAAAAAAATCTAGACGTGGTTTCGAACAAACTAATGATGCAAAAGTGCTTGGTATTTGGTCCTCTAAAACAAGCAATCGGAATTTCTCATGTGCAGAAACATGTGTTGCACGGTGTTGAACACAAGTCGAACAATTGTTTTCTTCACTTCCACTGGAGTTGCATCTTCAATCGAAATCGGACCGCGAATTTGGCATGTGATTGTGGCGTCATCGACAACGATGTGCTTCTCGAACTCTTCGGAAAGGCTTTGCAAAGCATAAACTCTACGCTTTTATCCGAAGGGATTTCTCGAAACAACCCAGATCCAGATTTGGCTGTCGCAACTGATTCGGATGAAGACTGGGATTACGTTTCTCGTAATAAAATCTCAACCAAATTAGAAGCTGAAATCAAATTGCTAAAAAACCCTCAATAAAAGGTCCAAAATCGATTCCCCTAAAATAAAGTGCCTCAAAATATAAATAAATTGCTAAAAAGTGAAAATCCAATGTTTGTTATGCTTTGTTTTATTGTTTATTTTATTTTCTTTTAGCATGAGCATTCAAATGATTCGATCAACGCCGCATACTTGTGATTTTGGCTTCATTTTCAGCTAGTGCGTCTTTGTTTTTTTGTTGCATCTCCTCCAATGTGTCATGTTCGCTGCTATACAATATACATCATTATTCATGATTTTATGAGAGACAGCAACTAACTAAGTTCAAACCCTGAATTACTTTCGATGGCATAAAGAAGTTTTTCTCTCATTTGTTCCTTTGAATTGAACGCAGGTAATTTCAATAGGTTCATACAAGTACTAGCTGATGGCAATCGATCAGTATCGCCCGCATTTTGGATACAGAACGGCGGATCTAAGTCCTGAAAATGAAAATGTTTGACATGTAAAATGTAAAAAGGTTGCAGATCTTTAAAGAATAATTTGTTCAATAACAAACAATATTTAGGAAAATTACCTTAAAGCCAAGTAACGGTGGCCGTGAGCAAGACGTCACAAACTTGAGCAACTGTCTCCTCTGTATGTCACTAAAATTGGTTAAAACCTCCCAAAATAGTTTGATTGTTGGATGATTTGGTTCGAAGTCACCTCCATATTTGGCATTTTTACGTAAATCATCGATGTCAACGGGAATTTCAGCACCGGAAATCAATACCTGAAACTCTTTGTTGCTAAACATATACAGCCATTCAACAGTAACCACATTTGCAAGTCCTTTTCTGAATGCTGCACATTGTTGTCGTATTTGTCGGTTCAGCTTGAAATCGGCCATCAAACTTATGTATTCAATGCGATTAGCACTTGTCACCTGTATGTTCGTACCATTTGGCTTGAGTTCATGCACTTTCGTTTCGCCTAGTTCGTTGATAACTACGGTAAAATCTAAACCAAGCTCCTCCACATCACCTTCATACGCTTTCAAAGATAATAAATTGCGGTGCAAAACTGGATCCAATGATGCCAACTGATGAACGTCCACATCAGAATGTTTACCAGCCAATTTTGAGAGGAAAAACTCAGCTAGAGGTAGTTCAACTAAAAGATTTTCATACAGTGCTTTGCCTAGCATTCGACCAATGAAATAATAATGTTTCTGATAGTCTTCAACGATTTTCGCCACACTTGGATTCGGATACAATTTATTGTCGGTTGTAATCCTAAATAAAAACAAAACCACAATTGTAACGTCATGTTAAAAACAAATGAACAGAAGTAGATGCAACAGAAATACTCACATGAAAAAGCCACGATTCGGATCGAACGCAGTTTTAATCAATTCGGATAGAAATTCACGAAACACACCACCACCGTCGATTCCAACCTCCTCTAATCCCATGTTGTTTATCATTTGCACACGAAATCTTGCCCGTAGATCCGGTTCGTTTTCCGGTCGTAGCTTGTCAAACGCATCCTCATACAAATGTGATCGTCTGACAACCAATTGAATCGATGGACCTTGAAGGAAACCCTGTTGATCACCTTGAGCTCTGTAATTTGGCAAATGGAGAGAGATTAAGTTATCGAAATTCAAAAGTGATTTTCTGCTGACACCCACCGTAAACGATCTGCTGCCAAAAGTCCTTGAAAAATACCAACGCGAGTACTGAATGGCACAACAAATGGAATTTCTCGTAAAATCGTTATGGAACGAACCTGTTTGGTTGATAACGGTGGACCGTTGCTATCTAAATTTGAATGAATATGATATCGTTTACATTACCACGGAAAAATAGCTAGAATGTTTTCTATACAAACCGAAGTCTTCTCGAGTGAAGTCTCTAATTGGTTGGAATGGTCTCGGTGCATGTCGATGTCCACGCGGCATTTCCAGATCTGTTGGTTTGTCCAGCGGTAGATTTAGAGTGTGTACCACCCAGTGACTGGCGGGACAGAATCCTCTGCGCAAATCACGAGTATGCAATTGACGTAGTAATGATACACAGACTTTCAATAAGTGTGGCCATTTGTTCGGTGAGGTAGCGGTATTTCCACCACCACCATCACCACCAGAATTTTGATTCAGCTGCAATGCAGATCTATAGTGGTCATTTATAGAAGTTCGTGTCTCGGGGAATGCCAGTTCGACCAAACCCAGTGATAAATCCTTCAAAAACGAACTCAACGATACGATCTCATTCAATTTAAAGGGCATTATTTTGCTGCTCGCTCCGGGCAAAACGTCTTCTTGACAAAATTCGCGGTCATGTAACGTAGCTATCAGACGCCCAAACAGTGCACAGAATGATGCTATCATTGGAATTACTCGATCGATTTCACGATCCGCTGCAAAAACGATTCCCTTTGTGATTAAAGTCAACGGCGAAGAGAAGCCTGCACTACTTTGTTGTGTGTGTAGAGTGTACCACAGAGCTCGTATAAATTTTGGTCTGAATGTTAGCATGTACAATAATCTGAAAGATGAATTAAGTTGATTAGGTGCCTGTTTTCTACTTTACCTCTACTAGTGGTCATACCTAAATTCAAAAACGGCGATTCGATGATAAAGCATTAGGTTATGACAAATTTTGCACAACGAGTACAACACTTGAACATCGTCTAAATAATTGTCAATATTATCAAGAATCAATTCGACGCGTTCTTGATCATTCAACAATGTGATTGCCTCCAACAAACAATCGCGTTCGGCCGGTGAGATGGATTCCATTTTGTGATCATCGTCTTCGTCACTGTCAATATCCTCATCGGCCTCCACCTCTTCTATGTCATATTGCTTGAATAGTGAATTCGAGGTACGTTGTTGTAATTTACGTATGTTTCCCGACAAATTTCCCAGAACAATGATGTAGTTTTTAGCCCAAACTGGATTACTTTTTATACGATCCAAGTACAATCGGTCCAGCGTCAGAAATGAATGAAATACGAATGGCGAATTAAACACGACATTGATGATCTTTGAGTCACTTGTAATCGAATATTTATCGTTTTGGTCCATGTAAGTTTGTACGATTAAATCACTGAGATACTGCAACAGATGCAAGAATGGAAACTCTGGACTATTTGCCAAGCATGGTATGACAAACAATTGGATTGGTTTCGTATATACAGGAACTAATATTTCTTCGACAAACGATGATAGAATGAGTGTAACGCATTCTTTGCTAATCAGTCCATCGACGGGGGTCTTATTGGCGGCAGACATGAGTCGCAATGGATGTTGAATCATTTGCAGTAGTGTTTCTGATATGGAATTCGGGGGTGAGAGAACAACATCGTAAAGTGGTGGAACTTTTTCTTCAAACAGCTGCCGAACTAATTTAAAGTATTTTCGCTGCACCAAATATCGATAGACGCTTTCCAGATAAGTTCGCCGTACATTCGGATCAGTTATATAGCGCGCCACTAGTTCATCTGATGAAAAGGTCTCCAATGTGCGAAATGGAATTCCCTGTACATAAAATGCGTAATTGTTTTATAGATCTGCTTAGACAAAACAGAAGAATAGAAATCTTACGTGCGATAAATTCTGCAAGGATAATTGCTGAATACACAGAGATAGCAGCTTTTTTACGCGGTGCTGCCATTGAGAATCGGCAATTGATTTATGGAGTAAATTTTCCGGGTGACGAATTAAAAACTGTCCCAAAATTATCTAAAAAAAAATATTCATGTTAAGACTATTTAAAAAATATTTAAATTTTTCCTTCAATGCTCACCAATCGCTCGCCATCTTTTTCATTTTTATTGTCGTAGAAAAATAAGATACACCTAAGTAAATATTCTAATTGTTCTGGATTCGTTAATCCCACCGTCTTCAAGTAGTGATCAAAGACATTTCGTGCATCATTTTTGCACTTAACACGCGATAAGAAGCTTCGAACACACGACTGAATCGTTATCGCTCCGGTGTGCTGTCTCCGGATTTCGGCCCGTTTCTGACGCTCGAGCGCAGCACGACGAATTATTGTTTCACGGTCGTTGATGTGTGATGCACCACCTAAATTTTGTGACGGTGTCCGTTTGTAATTACCTTCGAAGCTGAACATTTTTCTTTTCAATTTTTGATTGCCTGCATAACGAAAAAATTTATCAGGAACTTGTGCAATATTTTTTTTGTATAATCGATATGTCTTACGTTTAATAAAAGACTTGAAGCCATCAATTTTTATTTTGTATCAGCGTAATTCATACACATTTTGTTTGGTTTTATCCCAGTGTTGGTTTTTATTTGATTGTATAGATATCCACTGCGCTAATCTGACACACAAATTATTTCTATCTTGAATCACAGTAAATTTATACATATATTTTAAAGGATATCGAAATTAAAATGACTAAACAAAATTTCCTCGAGTGTTGCGAACTGTGTGCTGTCAAATGTAAGTCACTGTTTTTGAAATCAGCAATGCATTTCGGTGACATAAACGTCAGAGGAAAAAAACTACTGATGTACGCATTATGAGAAGAAAGAACTGTTTACGTTTTTAGTGCAGATGTGAAGACAACTTCAGGCCAGTTCATTTTGCTTTCGTTTCAGAATATTTGACAGTTGTATCAGGTGGGTTGTTGGTCAAGTAAACAAATAAACTGATAAATTGTTGTCGAATTGAACGTAAATTTAATGGATTATCGAGTTTAGATATTACATATCTATCTAAAATTGGTAGGTTTTAATTTTATAACTTGGTAACCATATATAATTTATAACAAATTCACGTATCCAAATAAATTTGATTGACTAATAAATCACAAACAAACCGAAATGTCCCAATCTCAGCTGGATGAGAATTCATCTCTAGCAATCATATCTATCTGAATTCAAGGGTGATAAAAAAAACTCGAAAATGGCTCAGCGTCTTTCGGAATGGATATACAAAATGTTTTATACCTTTTAATAAGAGTCGTACAACAAGTAGAGAGCATCTTGTACGGCGTAATGTTCACGGCCAAAGAAATGGGGGTTTCTTGGAAAACCACAGGTTTAATTCAGATTTGTTTGCTTTGCTGTTTTTTTAATCAAATATTTTCAGTAAGTTAATTGGCGCAAACTTTCTTTATTGTCATTTTGTGTAGCTTCGGACGAAATTACAACAATCAAGACTTTAGGAGAGAAAAAAGGATTTGAATGCTCGAAATGATGAAGTAAAATGTTTATTGAAACGTTTGAGAAGGTACTTCTACTAAACTTAGATTCCTATACCTGAGCAAGAGATTGCAAGAGAATATACGGAGACTCCGCTAAGCGTACCGGGCCGAAAGGAGATTTGAAGTGAAACCAAGTTTATTGCCATCACTTGAATTCCATCAATTGAAGCTGTGGTCGATTTTGACAATGAGGTAAAAGTGCCCAGTATGTGAACTCAAGTGCCTGCTTGCTAAACCTTTCGAGGTTAAATGAGTTTATTGCGCCAACACATTTATCATCTCAGTTGTTTGACAAAATCGCTTGAAGTCATATTGCGTTTCACTAAAATTATTACAATTACTTTTTTTTGTAAATCAACAGCACAGTCGACGAGTAGGAATCCAATTGAATTGAGGACTCGTCTGAGGCACAGCAGCAGGCGCACACAGGGAAGAATGGTTTAAATCTAAACAATTTTTGCGTAATTTGTGTGCGTGAATTTGAAGAAGTCATTTGTTACATTGTCACGAAATTGAATAAACGAATTGGAGAGCAAATGAAACTACGTTTTTTTTTTAGATGTTTGTATGTTGCGTTAGCCGTTGAATTTTGAAAGTATTGCGTTTCGAAATTGCCGTGTAAAGATCCATTTAAAGTGGTGTAGCGTCGAATATTTGCCATTTCTTTCTTTTTTTGCACATGTGAATTGATTACATTACCATTAAGTGGTGAGAAACATCCTTGAGAATATTCATTTGGTATTCATATTGAGTCAAACAAATAGGAAAAGTAGTCATTATAAAAATTACGACAATCCAGTATTCTTCTTTTCTATTTGTAACTGCGGGATATCTACAATGTGTTTTTTTTGCATACGGTTTGGCCTTATAGTAGGCACCGGCGTTGCCTTGACATTCTTCAACATTATGAAACTTATTGATAATTCCTGTTCGGAATAAAAGAAAATGTTATTGGATTTCGCCGTCTTTTACAAGGTTTTAACAAACATTTTTTCTTAAAATTCAACCCATCTGTTGTTCAATTATTTGTTATGTTAAAATTGAACCGTGCAACGAATTAAAAAAAAAACCGATCACTGGATGAACCAATTGGATGAAAACAATAATGATATTATAATAATTCAACATCCGGACTTTCTAATTTGATATTCACTCAAAAATATCCAATTACTGCTCGTTGCCGGCGACAGATGTAACACTTATACGGTCACATAACCCAGCTCTAATTTGTATATATTTGCGATTATACCTTGTAATTCGAAACGTTTGCCGTGTTTAAAGAATTTTCGAATTAATCATAATCGCAATAAAAAAGCAGATACGTATACGGCACACTTACGGTTTCACATATGTAAGGAGTTTCATATTTTTAGCTTGATTTCAGACGATTTTCATTCGTTTATTATTGGAATATTCTGTCTATCAAATTATGTAAATTCTATTCAGATAGAGTTTGGAAATAATGCTGATTTTCAATATTGTGCCCGTTTTTAATCGCATGGTTGCACTTAAGGTATCACCTTGCCGAAGCGTATTAATTGCCAAAATAATTAAGGAATCCCTTGAAAATGGTATCATTTCCATAAACGAGAAGTAAAGAAAGTTATACCAAAATTGACTGTGCCCAAACAGTAGCAGATCCAATAACCACCATTAAATGCTGAGAACTCAAAATGATCAATAAAGAAGGAATAAAAAAGTCATTTTTACCTTGAAACATTGTTATACATACAAACGAATTTGTAATTTCATATAACATTTTCAAAAATTCAATCGACCGCCGCAAACGAAAATATTACATATTTGGTGATTGAGTGTGCCGAGTATGAGAAATGTTAACTGCAGTATATATTTATTGGGAGGCTGGGTGGCGTATTTTCAGTGACGAAGGTTCGTCACATGGTGCTTCATAGCTAGATAGAGCATATGAACATATGATGTTTTAATGTTCAATAACTTTTATAAGCCGAACAAAAATTCATTGCAAATTATCCAAAGGAAAATTTCGGAAAAAAAAATGCACCAATACCTAACTTGGTTTTGTGTGTTTTTATTGAAACAAAGATGAATAAAGATTAAATAAAGTTTGAACATCGACAACAATCGTATAAATGAGATCATTTGTTTTTAATGTGCAAAGCCGTTTCCATTCCTCATCAAGCAACTACCAACCTTTTTTATGCGCTGAATACCGTGCAATCGGTATCATACACAGCCATTTCTTTCTTTTGACATTCTGCGAATTGTTATAGCTTCCAATCATATTGAACAGATTGTCTTGGCCGCCAAAAAATTCTTCATTCATCTTGTTGGTCAACTCGTTTTCGTTATACTCCATTTATTCGAAGAGAATTCAATTTCGGGAAAAAAATCAATCAATTGATTTTATGAGGAGCAAATTGAATAAAAAAAAGCCATCTATAAAAAACACATATCGTATAACTGCTCATTTCATTCAACCTCGTTAACTTTTCAACTATTCAATTTTGCGGATTAAATATGGGCAGTTACAAAAATGTTGGCACAATGGATCTTTGCGCTAGCGGTGAAGCTAAGCAAAAGGAAATTAGAATGTAAGTTTGACAAGTGTCATAAAATCAAACAATATCCCAAATATACGAACATATATCTATATCTATATTCTATATTCTATATGTGTAAGATATATATATATACCGCATATGAAGTAGTATAGCGAGTAGATACAAAAAAAATTGTTTGAAAATTAATAAGAGACGAATAGCAAAAGAAAGCAACAATAAAGACGACAGAGGCGGCAATATAGAAGCAGTGCGATGAAACGCTGTAAATGCAGTGTTAAACGCGACCAAACTAAAGTGAGTTCACAAACGTATCAGACTGAGTGAGAATAGTCTATGCTATTTTGTTTCGTTAAATTTCGTACGAAATCGGCATTTCGCGCGAGTATATCGTTTTTATTTTAGCGGTATATATATGCCTTTTAGTTCATTCGTCCGTCTTATTCTTTTCTTCGTGCGTTTTTTTTTCTTCTTCACTCGTTGGTCGCTTCTTGTTCGCAGTGTATTTTCGTATTTTCGTACGGCTCATACATTTAGCGCGTTGCCGTGTGTTGCCTGAGTGTGTAGAGCATTGAAGTATATACACAGCGGAGCGCACACAGTATATGCCTATAAGGATAGGACACTCATCGTTCAGTTGCAATCAGACAGTCTTTTAATTCAGTTCTGTTTTATTTATCGGTGAGTTTTCGAAAGGAGGTTTATTTTATTACAATTCAAAATCAAAAAATCTAATGTGCACACACGTCACTTCATAGTTCCAATTATACTCAACGAATTTGAATACATTGATTTTGATTGTTCGTCGTCTTCATTACACATTTTCTCCCGATTACGCCGTTTGAATTTTAAATTGAAAAACGAAAAAAAAATTATCTAATTATTTTCGTTACGTTCTTCTGATATATATATTTTCTTCACTTCGGATCGATTTTTACGAAATATTATAAAACGAAATGCAAAATAAGGTAAAGTAGTTATAGTGTTACTGTTCGCTGTCGATTGTTCACGTGTGTGCAATTTTTGTGTTATTATTCGTTTGTCATACAATCAATCAGTTGACCGAATTGAACCACTTAGCCAATGACCGAAAATTCTGTGAATTAGATGAAGAAAAAAAAGTTGTACACATGCAAGCATCGGCAGCGATATTTCTTATGGACACACAAAATCCAAGCAATTTATGAAAATGAGTGAAAAACTATTTTCTTTCCAGTTCTGCAACGAACGAATCGGCGAACCACCTTATAAATAGCCTCAAACAACAGTTCCAAAAAAATAATAATTATGAATTACTGTGCCGCTAACAGCCCAAGCAAAAGAACGAATAGACAATGACTTTCGAAATGAAACGGTTAATTGTAAATAAAAAACCGAACAAAAAAATAAAAAAAAGTGTGCGTTATGTCGATGAAGCGAACCATCACAAAATAAAAATCAGTGTTTATATGCAAAAAAAAGTCTTGAGGTGAGTTTTGATGCCGTACTGGAGCGAAAACTCAAAACGAAAACACACAAATTTTCGCTTGTTTACTTGCTAATGGTGCTGAAAAGTTAAATTTACGATATCGCGAACAACGCTCGTTCTACAGTCTCTCAGACTCACTGTTATATTTGTGTGTGTCCCATAAGTTAAGTCATTTTTAACCGTTTGGCAAAATATATATACTGAAAGGAAGAAAAAAAATTATTTATCAATAAACGAAACAGAAACGGTACATGTGAGAATGCGATGAAACAGCATTATGTAGTTCCATCGCTAGCAAAACGTACACATTGCGTCTGGATGAGGCTGTAAAAGATATTAAGTGTGAAAAGTTTGAGTCAAATGCGTCCAAACTCTTGAGTAAAATAAAAGCAATAAAATCAATTGAAAACTCTGAAAAACTTTCAGTGCAATCGAATGAAGAATGAGAAAGAGAAAAAACAACAAACAAACCAAAAGCACCATAAATAAAGTGTCAACTAACTAAACGTCAACCACCACAAACACCACCACCACCACTTCTACCAGGACGAGAGATGAATTCGATTCAAACAGTGAATTTTATACGTGTAAACCTAAAATTCAAATCAAAATAAATGTGCATATGAGTTTTCGTTTGATTTGTGTTTTTGTCAGCAATGAACTAAATTTGTGAAATTATTTGTAATGTACATAGTTTAAAGTGAAGTGCGTGTGGAAAGAAAAAAAGATTATCAAGAAGAGAATGGAAATTGGACCAATGCATACATACATGTTGAGTTAATTTGTTTTTTTTTGGTTTATGAATTACAAAAAGAGAGAGAGAGAGAGAGAGAGAGAGAGAGTGAGAGAGAGAGAGAAAAAAAGAGTCCAATATTTGGTATCCAAGGTTGAAGGATCCTTTCAAACATTCGGTGTTTTTATTTGCGGTACATGACCTCTCCATAGCGTATTTTCGTTCTCATTTTCTCGTTCTGTCTCACAATTTTGTGGCTAAATCTACACATTTCACACATTTGGCCAATTTTTTCCCCGAATTTATGTTAACAAATTAAATATACCTGTCATCGAAATCAAGGGGAAAACATCATTAAATAAGCGATTCGAATGAAAAATAATGACACCAATATTTAGGTCTAAACTTCAATTTCATTGATTTTTACTAGTGCTGATTTTTTTTTTCACCAATTTCGCTAGTTCACATTTAAGTGTTATGAAAGTTAATAGAAAAACTGAATAACTTATCAGAACTAATGAAAATTGATGAGTATCTCAGTGGAATGGAAATGTTTTCCCCTTGGGTAAAATATCCGGCAATAAAATCGCACCACAAATTGGCCAGAGTCTTCAAATCACATTCAGAGTGTGTCCATACACAAACACTCGTTCAACATAAATAATAACCAAAAATGGATCTACGGACAATGACGAAGAGATTCACATTCATTGTTCATGTTTGTTTGGACAATTGATTTTTCCCTGGTGTATACAAAATATCTTTCTCACAAGCCTTGACAACAATTACATTTAACAAACTGATCCCATACACACATATATGAAATGTTATTTAACACAGTCATATAACACCATAATTGGTGCAATTATTCGAGAATATGAACGAGCAAAAGGTATCGAAAATAATGCGTAAACGGTGGTGGTGACAAATGCCGCATATAGTAACACAAAGACGTAACCGTAGTGTCATTTTTCTCTTTGCGTATAGGTTAAAAAAAAAAATAATAATATTGAACTGAAGCAACGAACGAAGAACGACTAATGTGGATGAAATATGTGTTGAGAAATTGAATAAGGAAAATTGAATGGCAAAAAATTATATTGAATTGTGCAATCGAATAGCTAAATAGCCGCAGCGACATCAAAGTCAATTGCAATCACAGCAGCAGCAGCAGCAGCAGCAGCAGCACTAGCAAAGCATAGCAGAAAATCAACGAATTTTTTTTTAGCTTAGGAAATATTTTCGAGAATTAATCAACAAACTGGTTGCTATCGAATTTCGGCATACTTGCTTCGCCTTCATCACACACATAGTTCAAAACAAAAGCATCTTCGAAAAGTGATATAAAAAATTGTGACGACCTGAAAAAAAAGTGCGAGTGCGAGAGAACACGACGCGTGTATTCCCAAGCCTGTAATGGTGCTCACAGATGATTTTGACAGAGAGCCCGACCGGCTAATGCCGCGAATCGTGTAGCTCTGCCATGTGCCAAATTCTTATACGTCTTAGTTCATCCTGGGGATGTGTCCAGGCTCTTATTTTGACCTTGACCATCCTAATTTTTCCAATTGCAGGTAAGCTCTTTTTTTTACTTCTTCTTTTCTACAACTCATTCCATTTTGAGTTTCGTGTCGAAATAAAATTACAGTTACTTCTTCTGACTTGTGCACTCTATCTCTCTCTCTCTCATATACAGTGTGAATCACGCAAACCGATTCGATACAGAAATGTCTTTGAATGTGAAAACTGTTTGACATCCAAACAAGTGAACAGTGTGCGCCGTAAGTGTGTGTGTGTGTGTCTGTGTCTGTCTGTCTGGTATTACTTAAAGCCAATACTTGCATATGAATTTACATATTTTAATGCGGTACATTTGCTCGAATTGATAATAAGGGGCACATAAACACAGAAAACAGCATGCACACTTGCAGAGTATCACTATTCTCTATACCCTTTTTATTTTTCCATAACGTTTGCCGGCAATACATGCACATTAGCGTTTAATTAGAGTGAACAAAATTTTTTAAAGTCATTATTCATTCAATAAATTTTTGATTAACTTTTATTGACAATAATCTTGTTTTCGCAGTCATACATGTTATGTATGCAGTTTTTTCCCCCGAAGTGTATCATCATTCGTGGGAAGTTATTGTCGAATGGTATTTCGGAACCGATTGATTTCGAAATTTTAACTTCTCCAATCAATGAGCTCCATCAATATCAATGATATATATAAAACGTACATATTTGTACGACAATTTTGTTATCTGGCCAGGAATGATACGAAAGAAAAAAGGGTAATTTTTTGAAGTTTCTTTGCAAGTCTATGCGACAATATAACGAAGGAAAACAGGGAAGCATCAAAAGAGAAAAAAAAATCTGCTCACAAAGCCAATTAATTCAAGTGCAAGAAGTATCAAAAGGTCGAATCAAAAATGACTGATACAGACTGATAAGATTCTAAGGCGCTACATATATGCAGACAAGCAAACTATACACACAAAGTGAGACCGAACTTTTTTCGTTATTTTCCTTCAACATCACATGTACTTTTCCAATTCGATTTTGTTTTACGTCAATATGCAGCGCATTATTTGTGTGAGTTTTTTTCTTCTCATTCATCAAAATTTGTATTATATCTAGAGGTGTATGTATATGCCCATGAAATTCTAACGTTCCAATAACACAATTCATATTCAGACAGTCTTTGTTTGTTCTTGTCTTAAAGACATTCAAACATCATCACACTTCCCTGTGATCGTCTGATAAATTATTTGCGAAAAAAAATGGTGCTTACTAGGAACGTTCCAGGCCGTCAATGCAGATACATATACAACAGTAAATGAGTTGAAGAAAAAAAACCATACTGATTCATACGCATACATATTCAGTTCGCAGCGAATTCAAAAACATTGAGTGTTCTAAGGAAATTACCAAAAAAAAGAGAGAGAAGAATTGAATACAAGGAAAAGCGTATGTTACGCCGAGTGCTGCAAAACCGGAGCGAACCACAACAACAATTCGTGAAGTATGGAATACTAAAATACATCGTTTTGACTTCAAATCTATTGATTTTTCTACTTGAATAGTAGTGTTTTCAGGTTGCTGTCGCGTTGATGGTTGCTTTGTTTGCCCTGTTTCTGCTGCAAATCGGTTTTTTGGTGCGCCAGCCAACAATAGAGCACGAAACTAGTTTGGTTTGGGTTGTGTGTTATTTTTTTTTTCATTCTTTACCAGAGCCCTATACATATTTTCTGCCTTCTCAATGTATACATTTTCATACACAAATACACACATTTACTCACTTATACAACCATACATATACTTTTCTAACTGACACGAGAGCAGTAAAACCACCCAGTTGTGAATAGCACATATCAGAAGAGTAGACAGTAAGAATAACATATTAATTTCCATGTAAATAATCATTGCATTTCTTCTTTTGAGGCATTTGCTCGCTGGTTTTCTCTCGTCTTTTTTTGCATATGAACAGAGCATAGAATTCTTCTTCGATTGTCAATAATTTGTCTTATCCATTCTCACCCCTATTTTGCCGACGGATTCATCGCATTTTCGAACTTAAATTGAGCAATAAATTTGCTCTGATAGATCAAAGAGAGTATATTTTTCACTCTAGGAAATCTTTTAATCGGTGTTTGTATTATATAGGCGTTGTGAAATTGTTTATTCGCAAATGTAATGAAAAAAAAAATCGTTGATCAGTGGAAAATCACCACATGTAGTAGAGAGGTATGATGAAGGATTGAGGGGTAACCGAAGAAAACACGAAGAAGAACATTATTGCTACTCCATTCAAATACTCATATATACATAAATATATAATTTTGTTGCTACAGTACTTTGTCCAATTTTCATTTTTCATCGTATAAAATTTTCTACATTCACTCTGAATTTTTATTTGGGACTCATATGGTTGCTCTCCCTCTCTCTCTCTCTTGTGCGGTTAACTCATTTTTGTTCCTTTCAACGCTGGTTAGGTAACAAAAAAATGCGATGGCAAAACTCGAAACAATTTGATAGCCACAAAAATGCAGCATAGGCAGTGAAAGTAATTCCCTAAAATGAATATACAACAAACCTCAAAGCACATTCATTTTGTAGGGGATAATTCGGATACAATGTGAATTACCCACTGTATATTATTTATTTATTTATTTTTTAGTTGAATACCACATCGCCCGCGTCATTCATAGAATTTTTACCGCTTTTTTTCATTCGATTCGATATGTTTCATGATTGTACACTTCTTGCATACAGTGAGTACAGAGTTTAAAAGGACAGGTGTGATATCAATCATACGTGCAGTATGCGCAACAATAAACACAAATTAAAGCAGAGAGAGAGAGAGAGAGAGAGAGAGAGAGAGAGAGAGAGAGAGGGAGAGAGAGAAATAACGAAATCGAAGCACGTTTTACGTGTAAATGTTCGTATTGCATGGTTAATAAAACTATGAAGCATATACAAATACAAATCCGATAGTTATTGTATTCTTTCTTTATTATGTCGTTTTCCAATCGTATTTCAATTCACTCCGCTGTTTTCCTTCAGCACTTTTTATTGTGAATGAATTTTATTCGATTTGGAATAGATGAGGATAGAATTGGGAAAACTCAATTTAGTTTTTTCTTTCGTACACATGAGCCTGTGTAGACAGACAGTATGGTTTCGGCGTACTATGTGTGTTAGACATAGTATTGAAAATTCCAGCTAAACCACATACATATATGAACTGCTGAGAATAATAGACTGACGATAGCAGATTTTTCGCAAAAGCAGGATAAAAATCAGTCGCACGCAAAAGAGACATTTCAAAAGGTTGCACGCAAGAGAGAAGTATATTGTTGTTGTAATCACGGCTTTAAAATTCAAAATTCGACAAAATAAAATGTTCCGTTTGCGTGTAACCTTTTGAAATGTCTCTTTTGGGTGCAACTGATTTTTATCCCGCTTTTGCGAAAAATCTGCTATCGTCAGTCTATTATTCTCAGCAGTTCATATACCCGAACGCACACAACATACAAATGAGCCGGTAAATGTTTTATGTGCGCACATTTCATGTAAGAGCTAAGTATAAGGGTAGATCTATGGTCAATATTTATTATTTGTAGACAATTTTTGAGTGAGCGTTTAGTTTTTGATAAAAATTTGACATTTTGTTTATATTTTTGCCGCTTTTATTTTGCCCTTTTTTCGAATTTTTTCGAACAAATGAGCCATGATGATTCATCGTCGCTACAGATCAAACAAACACAATTAACTTTCGTCGTATAGAAGAAATTTGGTAGTTTATTTTTTTTTAGTTGCGAGTGATTGTAATAAAACTTTACTGTTTTCCAGGTATTTTCCTCGAAATTAGTTTGGCTTATAATTACAGTAAAATTCGTATTCGTTCCCCCTGCGGTACTTATAGTTGTGTGGTTTTGTTACTATTTTTGGTGACGTCCGCACTTTTTTTCATTTGGTTCCATTCTTAATTGCTCAACAATAAATTTATTTCCTGCACATTGCTTCCTATTTTCGTTATTCTTGTATGCACTCGACAAACAAACGGTGCACCCATTCGCTGTTCATAATGTTCTCATAATAATAACAATAATAATAAAATGAGGAGACGAAGGGAGGAGAAGGTTATGAACGAACGGTATTTTCAACGCAGCTATTTTCAGTCATTCAAAATTTATGTATTCAATATGCAATACAATATTGTTTATGATATTTATTGCTGGTAACGGCAGGGTGCATATTGCAATAGGATGCGACCGTACAACTCTACAGCTTATCAAGAACTCATAACACACACACACACACACAAAACGATTAAAATCAACCAAGAGGAGAAATTCAAACAACGCAAAGCAAACGAGGTATATTGATACATAAATTGAGAGTATGGCACTCGACTCAACTGAAAGTGGCTAAAAAAATTAACGATGACCATAAGATTCTATTGCTTTTGACAGCTGAAAATTAATTAAACATGTTGATATGACAATGGGCGCTCTTTTCCCATCAAGTACAGATGTTTAGTTAGCTACACTATATAAAATAGTTGGAAAATAATTGAAATTCTTTCTATTCAAGTTTATAAAGAGCGAGCATCCGAATTTGGTTTTTTTTTTCTCTCAAAACTAAGACTCTTCTTAAATCGTGGCGTTGACTATAAATAATGTTTACATATCTGGCTGAAGATTGGGCCAAAGCCTGTTCAATACATTACAGGGTTGAAGATTACCAAAGCCTTGCTTATTCACACATGAATCAATGTTCCCACACTTTGCATATTGCGACCAATCATAAATTTTTGGATTATTTTACACAATGCACATAAATTCTTCTCAACACTCACGGCCTTTTCTATAAGCTTATTCCCTTCTTAAGTCCCCTTTTAAAATATGAAGAGAAACTGCAGCATAGATCCTCTAAATTCAATTTTCTACAGTAAATCATCCGAACAAAAGATATATTATAATATAGACATTCTTTGAATATTGCACCTAGTTGTTTAGAGTAGCGCAGTATGACATGCATTCAAAGATTCGAGTCTTGTGGCACT